GGGGTAGAATGTGCAGTGGACTTCACAGCATGCAGAGCCTGCCTCGCCGCGAAGCTGACCCCAACGCCCGGTAATTTCAGTTATAGTCATCTTGCAATGGAGGTGAAAAGGTATGGTTGTTGATATCCATAAACAGGAGAGAGCTTTCTCTCCTTTTGGACTTCGTAGAACGCGTGTGGTCAATATTCGGCGACAGCATCGACCGGTTTGATTGGGACACCTCGGACCTAGCATTACTACTGGATATCTCGTAGCTCTGTTGCGTGAAGCTAGACATACACTCTGATAGCATAGAAGCATCCTGTGTAAAACCCGGTTGCTCCTGAATCCCTGTCCGACTAAATTTGGATGTAGCTGCATCTGGCAGCACCTGATGGTAAGGAGGACGGGACTCTTCTGGAATGGCGGCATAGTCATCACGAGACTCCAGTGACTCATCACCAGAAACTGGTGTCTCATTAAAGATCTCTTCATAATCAGTGAGAAAAGTGGAGAAGACTGGCGCTGGTATGTTGAGGGTGGGTGCGAAAACAATGCCGACATTTCTGATCGTCATCTTATTTATGTCGGAATTGTTCACAATGATCATCAGAAACTGAGCCAATGCACGTAGCAAAGCAAGATTCGGCTTGGGTAATCGGTGGACAAGGACATTGAATGCTGCGATCTTCTGTTTCTTCTCCTGAAGTTCTAGATATATGATGAGCGACGATCTCAAAGCTATAAAGTCAATAATTACTCACCGAGGACTCGCAGAAAATCCAAGTGCAATTCACGGGTTAGGACGGTCGTAGGAAGCTCCCGGAGGTATTGTTTGAAAAGAGATGCAATAGCATGCACATCATGGTACTCATCATCGGCCAGGAAATCCACGTCGCCCTCATTATTGAAACGTTCCTTTAGTGCTTTCACAACGACATTGGAACCACTCAGACGGAAGATCCCCTCCTCCGACTCTGCACCCTTCGCTTTCAGATACTCTATGCAGCGATAAACCACAGCTGGTAATCCAACATCAAGGCCCCGAGGCGCGCACAATTCCACGGCCTCGGCCAAGGATAGACCGAAAACGGGTCTAGTAGAGTCCCTTTTCTCAAATGTATTAAATATTTGAGATGTTGAGCCATCATAGGCTGCCTGAAGCTGTGAGGCTAGATCCATCGATGATCTCGTGCGGAATCCCCATATACTCCGTTTCTTCTCTTTGACACTTGTTACGGTCTTATTGCCCCAGGCCCCTGCGTCCTGTATCACAGCTCCGTTGGTAGGACCAGATATGATTTTTGCCGAGGATTGGCCATAGTCCTGACTGGCATCTTGACCATCTGTCGGTAGCCCTGAAAAGACTAGAGGTGATCTAGGGGCCTGCTTGTCCACGGAGGGTCCAATAACTGGTGGTTCGGCAGGAACAGCATCATCATAACTGAATCCTTGAACAGCGTCGAGACCCTCCACATCCGAGTTCTCGAGGCCCTTGTTTTGTTTTTTGTAGCTTGCGTTGGCAAACAGCCTAGACTTTGCAGGCGCGTTCGCAGCGGACTTCCCCAAAGGCGTTTGGACTCTGGAGGGCGTGCTGTAAGGCCCATCTTTGTCCTCGGTTCGTGCGTCAACGTACTCCAGGAGCGCGTCAACCCACGTATCCCTTTCTTCATCGCTCTCAGCGCACAAAACGTGACGAACAAGAGCGGTGGAATCTTTCTTCTTCGGCTCAAGTATGAGAAAGGCATGCCGGTACTGATTCTCGGTGTCTTCCTCAACGCGAGAAGGAGAATCCGGCTGGCTACTTGAATTTTGAGACTGCTTGCCAATCTGGGCGTTGCTGATCCTGATGGTTCCTAGATGAGGGCCACCTGGCGACTCGAAATACTTAAGCTCAGGGCCGTGCAGAACAAAGTATCTAGCTTTCCATCCACCAAAATTCTTTCCTCTCTTTGTCAAATAACCCTCTTTGCGAGGTTTGCCGTCCGGACCTCGCCGAATCTCAATGCCACCTAGATTGTTCCCTTTAAGCAGGCTTGTCTCGTCGTCCCGAGCTTCTATGGCATCGGAAGTAAGGAATTGACATATAACCACTGCTGCCTTCTCATCCATTGGCGTATCAAGAAGTGATTCGAAATAGGAGTTAAGTGCGGCACGTCTCGCATCGACTTTGGCAGGTGAGTGTCCGCTAAATATTGACCTATCTGGTAACCTGCCTCCCCCGAAGCCCAGCTGCCTTAGATTCTGGTCAAGAAGAGGAAGAGCTGCAATGACCTTTTCAACGCGCCAGAGCTCTTCTTTCCCAGACCTAGAAAACACACCTAAAGTAAAGACTGGCTCCTCTTCCAATGGCCTCGGAGCCAGGTAACTGTTGCGGGAGGGCCGCAGGCGTGAAGACGAGACTTTGACATGAACCAGGGGCAGTGCGTTAGGTGGTAACAAGAGGTCTGGATGGTTCATCGAGACAAGGCCTTGGTAGACACCAATACCTCTCCAAGGAGACTGAGATGCATCTGCCCTAACAGCTCCATCGATTGAAGGTAGTTGTTGACCGAGAGAGTCGACAGGAGCTGAACCATACACAGCGCAGTCATCCGTGGTGGTGTAAGGACCTGCAGCAGATAGAGTTGGGTGGCTGGCAATGCGAGGAGAAAGCGCTAATCCAGAGAGTGTGCTCTCCGAAGACTTGGGCAAGGAAACTAGAGACGCGGGGGTCTCTCTAGGTAAACGCGGCAAAGGGGATCCAAGAGGGCGATCTTCAGGTCTTGGGCTTAATGGCAGTCCAGGACTCTTTGGAATGGCGATTGTAGGATGACCTTTAAGTGACCTTGAACGTGCCACTGGATGACTCGAGTGACGGGAATCCGCGTAATTGACAGGCTGTAACTGTTGTTGATCTGACGGTAGGCTGTGTGCTGTCTTAACCAAGCTTTTATGAGTAGTATCCTTGTCTGTTGCATAAAGCGCCTCACGATTCTCGTCATCTTCGTCTCTCGTTCGTCTCCTGCCGCGGGTTGCCGGGAACTCCTCCACTGCCGAAATATCCTCATACTCGGAGCCCGAATCAGAATCTTCTATATTGTAAGGAGGTATATGATCAGCTTGTCCGAGGTTGAGTGGCGCTGGAGGAGGCTTTCGAAATGGTTGAGACGTTCTTTGTGACCTGTCGCTGCTAGGTCTACGATCATCTCCGACCGAGCCAGTGCTTGCAAGGTAATCTTGGTTGATTGTGGACAACCCCTGACGGAGGTTAGAGGACGATTGGTAGCCGTGGGTTACAATGCTTCGGTCCGTATGCTGTTCAGGGGGCTCGACCGGCTCGAAAGTAGTTTGCTTGTCAATCGCAAGGACATTGTGCAAGCGATTGTTGCTTTGATGACCATCGAGGACTGCATCATCCGCTAGGGCTGCTTGATACTCCCATTGAGCCTCTTTAGATTTCTCTTGGCTGGACTTAGTGGCTCCATCAATCGCCTGAGGTGATGACATGAATTCGCTGGTCGGGTTCGGTAGCGGCGGTGGCAGGCTTTGTAATTCTTTGACCTTCTTTCTGTATCGCTCCTTTTCCTTCGTAGCGCGTTCAAGATCTTTATTTAGTCCCAATATGAGCGTGCGCTGCTTGTCCACTAGCCTCCAGAGCTGAGAGTTTTGTGATGCTGCATGATGCTTTTCTTTCAGAAGGTGTATGATAACAGCTTCAGCCGATCCCGCAGTAGCTATCAAATTTCCAATGTCAGCCTGACTCAAAGTATTCGCGTCGAATGAAGATTTGTTAGTCTGTGAAGCAGATGACAGTGAGGATATCGCAGAGTCGATCGATGAAGTGCGCGGCATTGTACGTTGACCCGGTCGCCTTTCTGACATCGACTGTAAAGAGATAACTGGCGACATTGAGGGAGGCGTCATCAGGGGGTTTAGCTCGGTTGATCCTTGCATCTCGTGCGACTGGTTTTCATTCGATTGTCCGTTCATATCCATATCATACTGCTTCGAGTCACCCCCGCCCACTGCGGCCGCTGTTCAGCAAAGGTTGAACGATCTTGAGCCGCTATCGAAGCGAAAAGCCGGAGATGCTGCATGAGCACGGCAGGCAAGGTAAGAGGCACTTTGGGACGGGGCGACGTTCCGGAGGAATCAAGCCGATATTGGGAGATGGCGGGTAATGAGCAATGAACTGTTCCAGTGCACTCGTCTGAATGCTTGACGATGACGGTATGGAATAGCGAAGTGAAGGATTGGAGCAACCTCGGAGTGAAAGGTCCGCGGGCCGATATCTAAATTTGGGCCTAAATATTCGCGGAGACGAGATCAGTCCCTTGATGGGTGAAAGCAGGGGAAAGGGGATGGAACGGACTGAAGACTAGTTAGTGGGTGTTGTCACTGCTTTGCCGCCGACATTGGTTGTTGGGTGGGGAAGGAGAGACCAGGAGAGGAAATAGGGGGAGGGACGTGACCGTAATAAGCACGAAGGCAGTCAAGGTCTTTTGAGGTTATCTCGCTAGTCGAGTTCACCCTTCATCATATAACGATTCGGACTCGACAAACCATATACATCCACATATATAGTAATTACTAGGTAGTCTTCTAAGTACAGTACAGTACAGACAAGGGCGGGACGGCGTTCAGAAAAGTAAAACAACTTATCGAGTCCAATGGGCGCTATAAGCATGATTGGGCCCGGGCTAGACCTCCCACTGGGTCAATCCACAGGTCACCGCCCACCTGGGCCTTGGCTGCTCTTATCGTCAATAAATTAGCAAACTAGTCTTGTGTTTTTGAACATGATCAGACACGAAGTTTATCTTCTGGTTCCAAATCTATTCTGTAGGTCGCAAAGGAGCACTGGCTTCATGATTGACTGGGCGCTTTGTGTACTTGTAGATATACAAAAACATGGAGTATAGTGGATGTAGAGAAAAGAGAGAGTGAGAGAGATTTCTCTCCTCGAGAGATAGAGATTCGAGTTTAAAGATATGTGTTGGTAATGATATCCATGCCCCTTACAAGAGGTTCGGACAGGAATTGCAACATTGAAAGAACGCCCCAAGTATGAAACCCTTTATCTTCATTGAACGCCTTTGTAGCAGTACCCCACTGCACTAATATGAACGCCAAGTAACCCTTGCAAAAATAAAAACTCAGGCTATGTTTCCAGCCATGCCCATGAAGATGGCCTGGGCGGCCAGCTGAAGTGACCAGAAACCAACTTTCTTGAAACGACGCTTCCGAGCTTGTTCATCCACAACATCTCGAGCGAAAGCATCGTAGACCTGATTGACATTAGCATAGTATTTTGATCCGCCGTGATGTGAACTTACTGCCGCCGAAAGGTCGTCCATCAAGCCGCTATCAAACGTCGTCCAACTGCCGTCGAAATCACCGACCCGCTTGACAAGTCGACAATTTACAGGAATGAACGTGCGCCTTGAATTAATATATGCAACAATGGGGCGGATTAGTGCATTGTTGATGTAAGACAAATCCCGCGTGAACAGGGGAACCACTGCCTTAACATTGTTCAAGTGGAGACGTAGATCAGTAACCAGGAATCGCTTATCCTGCTCGGAAGCGATATCGCTAGGTGATGACTTGGAAGATGCCGGGTCGTGGTGATTGTTCGAAGTGACGGTGGCCTCCAGCCGGTCATAAAAGTCAGCCATAACCTTAGCCAGACTTTCATCATTTTCGGCTGGGAACATGGTATCGGCAACGATATCGACTGTACCCTCGTGTATCCAGGAGAAAGGTCCCTGGACCCCACGGTTTAGATGATCAATGTTGAGCCCGTCCACACGTATCCTGCTATGCTTTTTCCACGGGCTTGACTTGCCGTCCTCAGTGCCACTGTCGAGCTGTGCACCGGTAAAGCCGTGTGTTTGACGGGGATGGATTGTAAAGAGCGAATTATCGAAAGATCCAGACATCATGTTGGCCGACATGAAGTCATATAGGAGCCACTGCTTTCTCAGTTGAGGCAAGTCGCAAGAGAAGATACTAACAGGGAAGGGCCTGAAACCGTCTGGCTGATAGACTGTCACCAACACGTCGCTCATTTTGAATGAGTCAATCTCAAAGTCACCAGGGTGGTGTTCATGCCGGTACGATTTGGGATCCAGGTCATCATCCGACCAATGAACATAACGGCGGTCAATGACTCCCCTGATGCCTCTTACCTCAACATCGCGAAGCAGCCCCTTTCCGTTTATCCATTTGGTGAACGATAGGGTGACATTGACAGTTTCGATTGACACGTCGAACTGCGTATAATTCGTATCTTCCTCGTCCGACGACGTTCGCTGATCGGGAAGCTCATGACTGGGCTCGCCCCCTAGAGCTGCAGCTGCGGCTACGGCCGCAGCGGTCTTCGACGATCCTTTGCTGACGTTTCCTGTCCCTTGGCCTGGTCGCCTTGAAACGAAAACGTTCTTGAACGTGATCACACCATCTCTCCATTTAGGAACAATAGCAGATTCAAACACAACCTTCACCCCAGATGACTTGGTTAGATAGTTACCTATCCACCCTGCTAATGTTTCTGTGCATATTTAGTGATGAAAAAACAACGGCAAAGGTACTGGGTGACAGACCTTGAGCAAAAACAGTGTTGATTGCGATAATAAGCAACGAAAAGAAAGTTGTCGTTCCCAACACAACCCAGACTACATGCCCGAGAAGCACCCACGAAAAAAGAGCTGTGATCTCGTCCAAGTTGAAAGGCCGAACGCTCCGTATCGAAAACCACTTAAATCGCACCTTAAGTCTGGACCAAAAGCCATTTGCCGCTGCCAGCAATTCTTCCTTTGAGGGTCGATGCAAATGAGGCATGTGCGGCAAGCGGTTGATTAGATGGCGATTAGCATGTAGCTTTTGGTGAGCATCATTCGAGGATGGCAAGTATTCGCGGCCTTGGGTGACCTCATGTGTGTCGCCTGTGGGCAAAGGATGGGTTATGCGAGTAGCACTAGTAGGTTCAGAGTGATCCTTGTGGATCTTCGTCTGATGGCTCTCGTCATTGTGTGTATGTAGTCTGCGCTTCGACGCATTCTGAGAGAATATCAGAGGTGGTTTGCGGTCAAGGCGATATAATAATTTCTTTGGAGATGTAGTACATGTTGAACGAGCCTCCAGTGCAGTTGAGTTTGGTAAAGCTCCGAGCACAAGGCAACCCCCAAAGGCAAAGCGTCTCGTAGCCCTGTTAGAGATCTGAGATGGGTGATATGGTTTCTCCGCGCACGGGCATTTAGAGAAAAGCCTCGAAGAGAAATTGCCTGGATTCAGTGGCGTGCGACTACTGGCTTGCGATCCATGCCCGAGAAGCGGGTTTAGTATGGCGTACAGCCTGCGTGTGAAATGGCCAGACATTATCTTCTTCCTCACATAGTGGAAATGAATGTTTTGCTAAAGGCGCAAGCCAGCAATCAGTAAATGGATTGATAAATCCGAGGCGGACTGAACATGCACCAATTTGCAGAGGCAGGAATTTGACCACTAGGTCTTTGATACAATCTTCGGAGACACTAGTAACTTTGAGGAAATACATGAGCATTGCAGATCACGTGAAATGCACACCTTGCTTATGTTATAGCATCTTGAAGCGGGCTGATTGGTGAATTCTTGTCATATGAATTGATGTGCAGTAAGTTATACCGACCAATACTGCCAAGACTCGTATGCCTCTGAGTTCCTGTTTCCCCGAATTTTCTTCTGTCACATCACACACCACTAATTTAGTTACTCGACTCGCTCTCAATTCACCGGGTTAACCCATATCACAATGCCTGCACCCACAGCTATCAGGCAACCTGCCGCTGCCTCAGCGGCACCAGTCGCACCTGCGGCAGGTCAGTCAATATCTTGCCGGCTAATGTTGCTTAACCAGGCTAACAGCCTTTCCAGACCAAGATGAGGAAATCTTGATCGATGCCCAGCCTTCAACTGATGGGACTGCACCGGCGTTTAACTTTGCATTCGATCCAGCCCACGACGCTGATGTACATATCGATGAAGAGGGCCGGCCTGTTTTTACGCCGGCGAAAGATGTCCACCGCGTACACCGAGTCGAAACCCGAAAAGTCCCCGTTCCGCCGCATAGAATGACTCCATTGAAAGCTAGCTGGTCACGAGTGTACCCTCCGCTTGTTGAACACCTCAAATTACAAGTGAGGATGAACATCAAGAATCGAGCAGTCGAACTCCGTACATCTCGATTTACAACTGATACAGAGGCCCTGCAAAAAGGCGAAGACTTTGTCAAAGCCTTCACGCTAGGGTTTGATGTCGATGATGCTATTGCGCTGTTGAGATTAGACGATCTATACATCCGCTCTTTTGAGATCCGCGACATCAAAACACTCAATGGAGAGCACCTCAGCCGTGCAATTGGACGCTGCGCTGGCAAAGATGGGCGAACCAAATTCGCAATAGAGAATGCCACCCGCACAAGGATCGTCATTGCGGACCAAAAAATTCACTTGCTAGGCGGCATCAAGAATGTTGAAGCCGCTCAGCAGGCCATTGTCAACCTGATCATGGGTAGCCCACCAGTAAGTATTCACATCCCTTCATTACACAGAACCTGCTGACTTGTAACAGGGAAAAGTGTATGGCAATCTTCGTAAAGTGGCTTCACGAATGAAGGAGCGCTTCTGATTAACTATACCTGACTCTCCTTTGTTTTTACTCCGTCTTGTTCTGTCCTATGACATGGTTTTGGCGTTGTGGGAAAGGTGATATCTGATTCAATAAAATTCAATGAGACGATGACACAACATTCACTTGAAAATAGCCTGTATTCAGTAATAAGTCCACTACTAAGGAAGGATGCCGTCCACTTCTGCTATCATTCGCCAATCATACTGGGGCAAGGGAACACGCATGAATTTAGTCCTTCTTCAGAGGATAGTAGATCTCCTCTATACCTCCGCTAGTAATGACCATCATCTGTAGACCATCACCAACTTCAATATGCCTTTCAACAGCACTTGTGAAAGCATCTCGTACGAGCTCCTCAACAGTCTCTCTTGACAATGGGTCTGCTCTCTTGGGCTCCAGAGCATGGCCCTCACCACTGCCAGGGATGTACTGGTTTTTGAAATTGACCTGATTGTCCAAAAATGGCATGATCAAGCTCGCCGCAGACCCAGCTGCTCTGCATTGTTCTCTCTCGTACGACCCTACTGGATCGTAGCTGTACAATGCACCTCTGCCATCCTCATCCAAGCCTGCTAGAATAGCATGCACGTAGTAGGGAAAGAACCGTTTCTGATAGAGTATCGTCGACAGGCGCTGAGCACAAGCTCCAACGGACATTGACTTCCCGTGCTGATACTTGTACATCTTTACCACAGCGTCTAGCCTTTCTTTGAGTGCTTGGCCATCTGCGGCGAAGCCGACGACCGACAGGAGAATGTGAGCACCCTCGCCAGTTTCATCATCACCTCCGATTTTGAACACTTTCGGAACGTATCGAGAGTTGATGTTGTAGCCTGCAACGGACCGAGTGTCACCAGCAAGGATAGCGAAGCTGGAGCCAGTGATGCCCAAAGTTGAACCGCCATTGTCGGTGTACCTAGCTCTGAGTTAAGATTGGGCAATCATAAGTCTGTAGTAGAGGGCCTTACGGGTAGAATGAATGCTCTTTGTTCGGAACACTCGTTGGCTGAGTGAAGGAATATCCGATGGCTTCACCGTGAGGTTGACTGAGCAAAGTCGCCATTGCTCACAAATAATTGTTGAGAGGACGGAAGACAAAGAGGAAAGAAAGGTAATGCTATGCGAAGTAGGAAGGTGAAATGGATTCTTGCAGCACTTTCTATTACCGCCACGGCAAGCGGTAAATTCGGGAAGAAGGTTGGATGTTGATGGAATAGCTGAGCTCGGGCTGCTGACGCGATTGAGCTGCCTTGTGCTTATCTAAGAAATGTATCGTCCCTCCGTCATTATCTAATCTCATGATAACACCCTACAGATGCAGTCCATCTCTTCCAGCCTCTATGGTAATTGTGTTCTCACATGATTTCAGCTCCAGTAGCTCCGAGACACAGATCCTTGTAAGAGTGTTACAGGTGTTGGAAAGGTACAATTCCCTGTGAAGAGATGTTGGGTCTTGCGGCCTATGACAGCAGCAGTGAAGATGACGCTGGTCCCAATCCAATTTCCTCCGAGACTAAGGTAAAAAGAAAACGGATCTTCCGTATTGGAATACTTACTGATGTGCCTCGCTAGCAAGGAAAAGAAGGCCATCTTGCTCATACCCCCAAGGCAACACAAAATTCAGGTGAGCATGCGAAACCCTCCATCCTTCTATGACTCTTCAAGGTCTAATGAAATCTGCTTGAAGCAGTACCCGAGAAAGAAACAACATTAGAGCATGGTTCCATGCCAGAATCTGACAGACCTGTTTTCGGTCCATCGCATGAGAGCCCTCACGATGCACAAAAATCCTCACCGACTGACTATATAACACTGTCCGCATCTCGTACTATAATCCATGACTTAACACTTCCCCCTGTCCCGAACCTAGACATTCCTCCATCACCTCCAAGCTCGCCCGACCCCTCCGCGGATGCAAAGTTTGCCCATTTCTTGTCATTGAAGAAACAAGGTGTCCACTTCAACGAAAAGCTCTCGGGTTCTGCGTCCTTGAGAAATCCCAGTTTGTTGAAGGCAATGATGAACCATGCAGGAATCGATGATCGGGCGCAATACCAGGCTGCACTACCACCGGCCATTTGGAACGCGCCAGATTTACCGAGCTGGGGATTCATGGAAGAAATCAGACAGGCACAACGAGACATCCAGGGTACAATGGAAGAGAGGAGGTCAGCACGACAACGAGAGGAGATTGCCTTTGTGGCTGCTACATCTTCCTTACCATAAGACCATCGACATGTTTAAGAGCCCTGGGGATAAGACTCGTAACGTGCACAACGCTTTTAAGTTGCAGCATATGGCATGGAAAATACTGGAAAGATGGGATTACACGGGGGATCTAGTGGCCATGCCCAACTTTGACCCTGTAGGAATCTGTGTATTTGAGAGTCTACAAAGAGATGGGATCGACATTTTAAGCTACAGCCTACCCGGTCGTTGCAATTCAGTGCCATACGACCCACTGCTAAATAGTGATGCTAATTACTGTGAAGGATTTATCCATGGGATCAATCAATATAACGATTCCTCGGGTAGGCTATGATGCTGTGTGGGGAAATCTTGCGCGCCAATACCGTACGGTTTCTGTCAGGACTCATGCTAGAACTTATAGAGGCATGTAGTAGAGGAGATAGAGATCCCAAAAAACATAAATACACAATGTCATAAATGGCCTGACCTAACTTACAGTGGCTGGTAGGGCAGGGCATTTAAAATAAAGTCGCGCGCGGGCTGCATCCGGAGACAACCTCGTACCCACATCCTGCTGCTTCAAGGTAAAGCTGTGGTTTCCGATGTGGGCGAGGCCGCGCAGGATCGACAACTGGTAAAGATTGTACATCAAGCGGTTGATTGAAATTGATTCAGTCGTCCGAGATGTCATGGGCATAGGATGAAGAGCTTTACAAAACAAACAAGACAGCAATACCCGTCCAAGCACAGCCACCTCAAGAACCATAAAGTAGCTAGACCAAATTTTGGAACCCAGTATAAAATCAACAGGCCCAGTGAACGAGGTGCCGCGCTCAGCAGTAGTACGGTTTATGATGCCCGTATACTGTTGATCCTGGATTACGTAGCTATGTATTGTACAGTACTTCATGCTGCTGTACAGCCTGCGGCAGTCCCGATCAAGAAAGCGGTGTGGGTGTAAACGGGGATTACGCCAAGGTAGCAACGCAACGACGCGGCCTACACTGGCCTATCTTATCCTCTGTTCAACTGTCTCAAGTCTATCTCCGACAACCTTCACCAGCAGCATCAAATTCATCTGATTGCATCCATCCCTAATTCCCTATCCTATCCTAACTCATCTGATCCATTATGAATCATTTCCCTGAAGCTTGGGGCCGGGTAAGAGCACTTTCAGGTTCGGTGCTGCTATCAAGCTAACCATATCCCAGCCCCGGGACGACGTGTATGGTCCTTACAACCCTTCATACCTGCAGACTACCGGCCCCAAAACCCACACCCAGTCACCAGCAGTCACTGGGTCTTCGATATTGGGAATCAAATTCAATGGAGGATGTGTCCTCGCTAGCGATAACTTGGGTATGGTTCTAAACACTGTTGAAAGCAATAGAGTTGCCTGCCTAACATATTCTTCTTTGAACATAGCTTCATATGGATCCCTTGCTCGATTCACCGATGTCAAACGACTCCGTAAATTTGGTGACACTGCTCTCGTTGGCTTTAGTGGGGATATCTCCGACATGCAGTACATTGATCGTCTTTTGGATTCCATTGACATCAGAGAAAACTATTCGGCCCACGGCAACACACTCAATGCCAAAAACCTCCATACCTACCTGTCCAAGGTCCTTTACAAGCGGCGATCTGAGTTCAATCCCCTCTGGAATCACATTTTAGTTGCCGGCTTCGACGATGACAAGAAGCCGTTCCTCAGCTCTGCGGATTTATTGGGAACCACATTCTCCGCACCACATCTGGCCACTGGCTTTGGCGCCCACCTGGCTCTCCCAATTCTTCGCCGGCTGTTTCCCGAGGAGAGACCTATCGAGGAGATCAGTAAGGATGAGGCCGTTGCAGCGCTCCGTGAGTGCCTGAAGGTTCTCTGGTACCGCGACGCGCGAAGTCTTGACAAGTACACCATAGCAGTCATCACAGCTCAGGGGATCGAGATCCAGGAGGACCAACAGGTCGAGGCTCAGAGCTGGGCATTTGCTGAAACCATCAAAGGTTACGGTGCTCAGGTCAACTAGCTCACTTGTTGATTTATGATGCATGAACTCACTTCCAGAGCTTACTACATTTGCTCTCGCCTGTGTCACAGGACCTTAGGAGCCCGAGATAGATCAAGTAATATGAGAAGAAAGTGCCTCGTTGGGATTCTCTATAGCATGCCGTTAAACCGCCCCGGAGATTGGGGGCGGCCTTTATGATGCTACCTTAGCTTTGTTCCAGCAGGTGCTGACATCAGGTGCAAGGGAGATAGACCTTCCTCAAATCGTCATCTTTGACCATAACGCAGATTAGTGTCTTATGTCAACATCCGAGGGCCTATGCGTGGCATGTAGTCTTAAAAATGGCTGGAATGGGATATTGTCATTCGGTCTGGCGAGAGATTTAACAGATCTAAAAGCGGACGGGACATTTGAGTCAAGATTTATCTTATCGACTTGCTTGTTCTTGATAATTAAGGCCCAGAACAGTACTGATGTACTCCCGCGCCAAGGGGCCTCGGAGCACTCCCCCTTCAGCAATCTAGTCCTTAACATAAGCCTGCTAATGTCACCCTGAGTGACTCGTGCTTACCATGGAGCCTGTGCAACATAGCTAACGCCGGCCGGCAGGCATGAGAGCATCGCCGTAGTACGTGCTCCATCTTCAAGTAAGAAATGAAGGGGTACAGTACTCTGTAGAATCGGCTATTAACTGACTGAGTACTCTGGGACCTACAGAGAATGTAGCCATTAGGGTATGATCGTTCATCTGGTAAGTACATACAGAAGTCTAGCAAGTATCAAAGAGATTTCCTCTATCAGCGTGAATAAGTATCCGTGAGTATAACGTTACATATTATGCATATCATAGTGTGGGGAAGGTTGCGGAGGGAGAGCGTTCTCGGCCCGAAAAAGGGTCGGAATACGATAAGGTAAGCTGACCCTCGGCCAGCTCCCTGATCCGTGTCTGGCTCTGCATCACCAAGATAGATTCTTCACCGTTTATTATTGCTCCGCAACGTGTGACCTTCCCACTCACACAATCCTGCACAAAAGATCGCTGCACAAATTCAATGGCACGATTGTCAGGTCTTCAGCGGGAGGTTCTTTCCCTGTATCGGAAATGTTTGAGAGAAATCCGAAAGAAGCCTGTCGTAAGTCAAATTAAGCAATAACCGTGACGGAAGAAGTGTCTGATATGATATGGTCGATGCCCTCTCGGTACTAGGATACCCAACAGAATTTCAGAATTTACGCTAGGTGCATTGAGACCAAACCAACTCACTCACTATACACCACTGATTTTGAGATAGAACCGAGTTTCAGAGGCACATGAAAATCAGCAAAAAAGACTTCAATGCGATTGAATATCTGCTACGCAAAGGGCACCGACAGGTTGAGATGTATTCTTCACCGGGCATACGCAACATCCACTAATCCATGCGGTGATGCTTGAATTTGGTGCAAGCGAAATGCTTCAATACCTATCTTGACCAACTTGTCAGCTCAAAGGGGCGCCTGACAGGACAGGACAGCTGACCAGCAACTGAGTGACCTGATTACGTCATCCAAGGCTGGACAATCAACTGAGTAGTCAAGTTGCCTCTAGCCGCCTCCAGAAGCTCATGGAATCGTCCAGAGGCACCAAGTAGGAACGGATATGAGCTTTATCAACCCTCCAGATAGTGCCAGAATACTCGTGCTACTTCTCGGTGTAATACTTAGCTGCTCAATAACACGATGGTAAACGAAGTATATAATTAGCACATTGGCAAGGGGTCTTTCTGATATCCATTCAAGTTCTGCAGATTCTGCAACAACGGTCAAATCTTCTATCCTCGCTCATCCACCATCATTCTATCGAAGTCTAATAATCAATAATTTTTGCGGACATATTCGCCATGGCTTACTATCCCCGTTTCACCAACGACATCTCTCCTCTATTCCGGCTACTGGATGATTACGACTGTCATCGCTCTAGCCACGCTAAGATAACACCGACAAAGAAACCTATGTCGCTGAAGTCCGATGTCTTCGAAACACACGATGCTTTTCATTTATCTGCAGAAGTACCTGGCGTTGAATCCAATGATATTCAAGTCGAGTTCTTGGACCCAAACACACTAGTGATAAAAGGTCATATCAGGAGGCATAACAGGCAGACATTTGAGGAAGGTCAAGATCAGGCCCCCGTTGCCAAGTCTCATCACCAGCCAACTGTGGAGGATGAGAATGAAGCGGATGACGCTACGACCTCTCAATCCTCGAAGAACTCCTCGAAGCAACAACTAGTGACGCCAAGAAAGACCGAGTCTACCTGCAAATATTGGGTATCTGAGCGGTTGACCGGCGAATTCCACCGCATCTTTACCTTTCCAGCGAGAGTGCAACAGGATTCAGTCAAAGCCAATCTCAGAAATGGTATCTTGTCGCTATCAATACCGAAAGAACCCGCTCCGAAGGTGAAGAAAATCCGCATTGAATAGACTATCGAGCTTGGACATTCCATCTCTTGACGGTGTCTTTCAGGTGATGATGTGCGCGGAAATCTCTTCGGACACCTCGCACGGAAGTGTAAGACATGATTGCATAGGAGGGAGTTTGGTTCTGTACTCGTTTGGGCATGTTTATGTCGGTTCTGATTGAGGTTTCTTGATGGTTTTAATACGCTATAGGGAGCTTGGGCATTGAACACTAATCGAGCTTCTTGCAATTTATGACTTGATCGTTTTTTCCTTCTCTCGTACGCGTAGGACAAGTGCAGAAAAAGCCCAAGAGGGCAGTTGAGTTACAAATCAGGCCCGGCACCTGTCCTCATCGACTGAGGATGAGCGCCATCATGATGCGTGGAAAGTGATAACCTGGTTTTCCGCACCGAGGGCCACCACACCAAGTAAATTTATACATTTGGAAAGGATGCACCGGGTAAAAACATATAAACAATCTGAGAAAGTAGAATGGTCGATCAAGAGAACGGAGCACTGTTCCCTGATTATTTCGACAGTCTGCCAAATTTGACAATCATTGAAACAGGTAAGCTGTACATGTGTGCAAGAAAGACACGTGGTATAGGTTGTAGCATACCAAAGCAAAGCTCAACTGAATTGAAGAAAGATGGTATCATAGCAAACACGCATAACATGAAAGGCAAGACGAAATGTGATGTTCGGTAGCACAAATATCAGAGAATGCCGAGCAGGTATTATAACAAGAGTTATAGAGAGCGAAAAGAATGTCCATTCGTTAAAACTGTATGACATTAAGGAGGTCATCATGGTGGCTGGACATCGACAACCTAGAAGGCCGTAGACGTTATAAATGCCTCGTCAGTCGGCGCCCCTGATGCTCGATGGTTCGACTTCGGGTTCGACCCCGCGGAAATTCTGGGATCATGCTCCCTCCACATGGTTTCAACTTCTCTTCCGAAATTGGCAAATGATATGTGCCAGTGGTCGCTTTGGAAAGCCAGAAATCGCTATGCGTGCTGCTTCTGCTACTGCTGCTGCCGCCACTCAGGGTCCCACAATCACTTGTTGCACCGATTTGAGAAGCTGATGTCAAGCTGTCTTCAGACAAGGATGGGCATGGCCTACTCTTCTTGTAATGCATATGGCTGCCTACAACCCCAGCAGGCAAGCGCAACGCGAAGTAAGAGTCAATGTCCTGATGAGACATGGTCCCCTTCCGATTGAATAGAAGAGAGTCACGAATATTATCATTGCTCATGCCAGGATCAGGCGAAAAGTTCCTATGCCCATTCTGCTGAGGTATAATATCAGACGATCGTGGTATATTCGTCTTCAATCGCTGCGCTGAGCCAGTACCATTGAAATTGGAAGAGACGCCTTCATAGCTCCGCAGCTGACCACAGTATTGTGGATATGACACTAAACGATCAGGATCACACGAGACTGTAAGTGATGTACTCCTGGCACGCCTATAATGACGTCGTTGTTGCAACTCGTGACACATAGAAGACACAAAAGCTGGCTGGTCAGGAACCTCAAGTTCGTGGCGACTGCTAGAAGAAGCCTGGGGACTCAATTGTCGATGCATGCGAAGCTGCTTTTCTGAAGCCGGCAGTGTTGTAGATCTTAAGGATTCGGCGTTTCTTGCCCTATTTCCAGACGTTGGACTAAACGACGGAGTATCAGGCGCCACAAGCACTCGGGAAGGCGATGACCTCATAGCTTGATCATTTAGACAGGAATGGACAGAGGTAGCGGAAGTATGTCCGCTATCAGCCATATGGTGAGAATACCGAGACCTTCTGTGCTTACTCAACCTTGAGTAACCCTGCGATGACAAACCATCTATTCCATCACTGGGGGGCACAGAGCCGCCTTGCACGTTCGTTGCTGAGATACACGACCTCAGTAGGTCTGGAACAGTGGGCGATCGCTCAAATGAAAATGGACTTCTTGGGAAATCCTCGTTCTCTGGATAATCGGCACTATTAGGGATCTGTAAGGAGTACGTAGCTGAACTGCGTCTGGCAAGACTCTGTACATGGGCCTGGGTGGTCGCCAACTCACCCCCAGTAAACCGTAAAGAGGGTTCGGAGACAATCATATCTTCTGAATTAATGATGGTTCGCTGAGGTAACAAGTAAGGTTGCTCATCATACTTCGCGGAAACCTGAGTCTTAATGCGTCGCAAATCTGATCGCCCAAGCTTGATGGAATCCTCGCCAGGTACACATCCTGGGTGAAGGTTAGTTGGCGGACCTTCGGGGCATTTAAGCCTAGCCCTATCACTGGGACATGGAGATGTGGAGCCATTCACGACGCGCAATGATCCTAGTTTCAGTGCTCCTAGATGGGTGTACTCGAGTTCATTCGGTGTAGGAGGGCGTAACTGCTCCGATATGATATCAGGTCTCGTCGTGCTCTCTTCGTTGTGAGATGCGAATTGTTCGCGCGCTTGATATGACACATGTGAGATGTTGGTTGAATGGCCATTCTCCTGATCAATCATCGGAGGCTGTCTGCGAGCTGAGTCTCTTGTCGATCGTCGTGTCGCAACCCCAGGCCGCGTCAATAGAGACCGTCGGCGGATCAGGGAGAACCCTTGACTATCGACGATGAAGTGCGTGTTAGAAGACTTCGCTTCTTCGATAGTACTGCGGTTAATAGCATTGTGCGTTCTTTGAGGTGGCGAAGTGGTCGAATAGGATCGCTTGGGGTACTTGTCAATTGGTGATTGTGGAGAGGCTCGAAAGGCTGCGGACCGAACGGTACCTTGTCTGGAAAGCTGGAGAGATGCTCGTCTATCCACAGCAGAGGATCCCACAGTAGAGACAGTGGGCGAGCGCAAAGCCATGCCCTGTGGCTCCCTGGCTATAACCTGGCATTTTCGGGGTGCATTGACGGTAAGCAACGGCGTTCCAGGATGAGAAGTCACAGAAGGGAGGGAATGTGATCTTCGTCCGCTCGAACCCGAATTAGTCGTGTTGATGGGTATGGATGCCCCTGTCCATGGGTTTTGCCATGCAACTGCGGGATGCAAGCACACAGACGAACCATCAACGGAAGGCTGATTTTGATGAGATACGGAGGTCACTGGTTCCACGGTTGCTTGTTTCGGAGGTGGTTTTGACAAACGTCTCGAGCGGCGGGGGCGCTTGTCCTTACTCTGGTGGTGGACTGACACTGACAGGAAGCTTCCCATTTCAGACAAGTAGGAAGCTCGTTACCTGACGGCCGACAGGCTCAGGCGCCCTCCTAAATCAGTGATAACAGTACACGCACAGCATGAGCGAACCCGCAGGATCGACGATGAAGTGGTATGAGCACAGACGTCGCCAGCCAGGCTTGAAGCGCCAGGCTCCTGGTCACGAAAACACCCGCGCGGAAACCTGGACTCAATCCTCCACGTCAGCTGCAAATCACGAAAGAGCTATCGGAGGCGTGGCAAGAAGATATTGAATAGTCGAAATAGGGCCGTGTGTGCTTGCTGTTTCACGATGTGGGCAGCCGACGCTCAATTCAACAATGGAGTCAACGAATGGCCCCAAGCATACATAGGCGACACGGATAAGAAAGGTACGATATGTCGCCGCAATCGCAACCGGGGTAAGATGCTCGAGCTATGCCCTGGCTTCCCGTTTTCTTCTATACAAGGCCGGTATTGTAGAGCTGAGAACGAGGCTAGACAATTGGCTGTCTGTCGCGAGCGACGAGTGATATAAGGATGTTTAATAGCCCTGTTGCTCTTGGCCTGTTGGATCCTATCCTGGACGGCGAGGGCCACCAGAGAGTTTTGAAAATCGAAAGGTTAATAATCAGTAATAAAACAGACCCTGAAAGTATTCGACAAGTAGTGATGAACCAGTAAACTAGGGTAAAAAAATAATTAACTAGAGCCCCAGGAACCCTAAGTAATTTGACACTGATGCAAATTGACCGGGGGAGAGAAGAAGGGGGGGGGGGGGAGTGGTGAATGAAGTGGGTAAAAGAAACAGAGGAAGGAGATAAATCAGATCCAGCCCAACGGACAGCCAAATAGATTAAGAATTAGAATCCGAGGTAGATAAGCAAGGGAAATGAGATACATAAAAGAGGTGGAGCTCCACTGATTCTGCCATGGTTGAGGGGGATGCACACGACAAGACACACTGTCGTAATGACGATAGAAGACGGATGCGTATGGAGACGAACGGATCGACAGCTTGCAGACGGTCTGACGGTCGGAACGCAACCCAGCTAGATAGTAGATGACACGACCGCTTTTTCCAGTCAGCCATTCATTCAATTGCGTCTATCTAATGTTACTCCGTAGAAACGGTTTGAATTGTAGGAGTTAACTTAGTAAATCTACCAAAGTCTGTGATTGTTAACCTCTCTCAACTACGCTACAAGAGAGATCTCCAAGGGCCCTTGGCCCTTGACTACTATGTTATGTGAATCAAAGGTTGTACGTACTGTACTCTGTAAAGAGGAAAATTGCGTGAAAGCCTGGAAAGCAACCAACTCCAACGAATGCGGACAAAGTGGCACGTTGTGGGGGGAAACGTACTGGTATCCTGTGTGGGCGGGAGTAAGTAAGGTATAGTACAGTACAGTACATGTATGTCCTTGTAACCAGTGCTTAGTCTGATCTATGGATGCTACAGTACAGTATATATTATGTATTGTACGTACTGTACATGTACAGTACATACATTGAGATTGGTAAATGGATCGTCACAACTAAGTAGGGAGGGCACTTACGAGTAAGACCAGCTGTGGATCATCTCAGGGGAGAAAGCTTGTCGGTTGATAGAGATGGCGTCTTATGATTGGCACACTCTTTGCTCACTCCTGGCCGCATTCAGTGGTTGCCCTGGTGGGCAACCCAATCCGTTTGTCGGATGCTCAATTCAGGTTGTCCCAGTCTCAGTTCCGGTTTGCGCCAAGTTAATGATGGCTTGTGGAAATTTTGTCGAGGAATGAATGGTTTCCATTGTTATTCTGTTATATCTACAGTACTCCGTACTCTCCGTACATACTACCTCCTAGTAAGTTACGACGTGAAAGTGATTTTACACAACCAGGACACCAATTCCCTTTGCTAGTCAATCCTTGACTGACTTTTGCCCCTGAAGCCGTGTGCAAGTATTTGTACATACTAAATAACCTATAGTTATACTCAGTAGTTTACAGACGGTAGGTAGTTACAGCACACCATCCATCAAATCATATCCACCTAGTTGCCTTTCCCTTTCTGATCAGACCTTAACTCGGTCAAATAATTGAAGGCGTGCTCGAGCTCACTCTGACTCGTATAGAAACTTCAGGTGTAAGATCATAGTCTAGAAGCTCGAACTAGTCTAGATATACCGTACCTAGTATGGAGTAGTTACCGGCATTTTCCAACGTTGTGGATGAGGCCTTAAGTTATGAAACTGCTGGAAGTGGACGTCTCCCCCTTACCGCTTTAAGAAACTTGGGGGGCCCGCGCCTTCAAATGAAAACGGCATTCACAGGCTCAATATTTTGAGCATCGCCGAAATCTTCTGCGTTCCGGTCGGTCAGTAGTCGGATTACACCGCGTCTTTACTTGTCGCATGGAGCTTTCAACTTCCAGCCATCCAGCCTTGGCGGTCTTTCCTTTGCTCACGGACAAAGAGTTCGATTCTGCTTGTCACCAATTCCTCCATCGGGTTCACGTGGCAAATGAGTCGTTGATGGGGCGGCTGACTGTTCAATATGCTCAACGGGTTAGTTTCTGGTGGCTCCCACTCTCCCTCCACGCAGCTATCTTCGATACTTTTCGCTGCCACTCTCTCCACAAATGATTATATGCCCTGAACTCGAGGTCCATGCAACTTGTACACCACGGAAGGATACCTTTCCCATTAGCGCCATGAGTGCAGGGTCATCGATGTGGGATGTGCACTTCCAACTTGGGCTCTGCACCTATTGAATCCATGCTCCTGTAATTGTCCATGTATCACTGTGAGCTAATTTACTAGGTACATGGTCCGATTTTGAGTATAACACGGCGGATCTCTCATGTCAGTATCCCCGCATACGATAGCCAATCCTCGGTAGACGACTCGATCCGAGAACGATATACATATACAGAGGCTTACGAAGATGACCCTGTCCGTGAAACAGCCCATGTCATTGTGATTGATTTCAAACAAAGCGACATCTAACACGCTATGAACAGGAAGCTCTCATCCGTACAGCTGAGCCCAGCGTCGGCTTACACGTAGTTTATGACGTCCTTCTTTCGCCCACTTACCAAGTCCCCGTTCTGTATTTCAATTTACGGCCGACTGATCATCCCGGACCGCTGGGGATCGACGCAGTCTACCGATATTTGGTACCGAGCCAATACAGAAAGGAACTCCAAAGCGTGGGTGTCATGGGTGGGATTAGTCTGGGCGTATGTGCAAGTATTCATAACCCTAGCTCAAGCCAGAGCTTATAATTTGTAGTATCATCCAGAATCCGGAACTCCAGCATTCTTCGTCCACCCGTGCAACACTGCGGATGCTATGAGGCAAATCGCAGGACACCGGCGTGTCACCCCCGAGACGTATCTCATTATTTGGCTCGGGTTAGTCGGAAATCGTTTGGGTCTTCAACTGCCTAGGGATTTCTTCGCGACAGATGAGATGCGAGGGAACTGAAGGTCTTAAATCTCGCAGGTTCAGCTTCGAGAGCACTTCCAAATTGACATGCCCCCGGAACCCCGTCGACCAACAGAGACCAGGATCGCGTATGCCTTAAGGCACTGTTTGAGGACTTAATCTTCGTCGGAGGATGCTTCCATAGAAACATCACTATCCTCATCCATGGGAGCATCCTCTTCGTCACTTTCTTCCTCACGAGGCCTTTTTACCCCGTGAGCTGTCGGCGCCTCTCCGTTGACTTCGCCGGTATGTTTCGGTGGCAATGTGGCTGATCCAGGAGGCCCGCTAAAGATCGACTTTTGCAGCTCAGTAGACGCCGCCACAGCTTGCCCACCGGAGGTAGTAGCCGACAGGCTATATGTTCCACGAAGCCTAGCGATAACGTCTGATGTGCCTTTGGCATACATAATTTTCTGTATTGAGCCTTACATTAGCAAACCAACAATAACAGCCATGGGCGTAAGTTTTACCATTTGTTTGCCAAAGAACTCGAACCCCTGGAGAGCGCGCATAGCTTGCGTACTAGCTTGGACATCCTTGAACACAATATGAGCCTGGCCACGCATTTTCTCGGTTTTCATCGCGACAACATCCAGAACAGTGCCGTATGTGGAGAAAAGCATGTAGAGGGACAGTCGCAAATCACGTTTCCGAAGTTTGTCCGGTAGGTTCGTACAATATAAGCTATGGAGGATCAGCTCTGTGGTCTCGTATATGAGTGGCAAGCAATCTCACGTTTGATTAGGGAGACCACTCAAAGGCGGTTTACTTTGGGCGCCACCGCGTGCAGGTATAATTTTCGTACTCATTATTGACAAGTAGTGATCTCAAACAATAAGGAGAGGTGGAAAGCGTTAAACCGGAAAGAAAACAGTACGCAATTGAGCCCAAGTAGAACATTGAAAACCAAGGAGAATAAAGTCTGCGCAGCCACTAACACCTGAACGACTGAGCGATCTGGAGTCATGTGATATATTATCTAATCGGACCATGCCCTCCGCGTCATCGTTAGGCATATTCGTAAAGTACACATGCTCCGTAACTGACTGATCTTCCCTCCCCCACTTTCTCTCACTTCCACGTACACTCCTCTCCTGAGCTCTCAACAGCGACCCAATAGCTTCGACAGTAGAGAGCTCCTCCTGTCCTAATTTTCACAATGGCTGCTCCTGAAATTCATCACCTCTTCCATAATCCGATCGCCGACCATTCTTTCTCTCCCGACAAATCAACACTTGCGGTTGCGCGGGATAGCAATGTGGAGCTCTACCAGAAATCAGGTGCCAAGTTCTCACTGACTGATGAGCTCAAAGGTCACGAGAAGACTGTGACTGGCGTGGACATTGCTCCTAATAGTGGTCGTATTGTTACTTGCTCACAGGGTATCTCGTCTCTCTTTTTTCTGTGTTCTGCTTCGGTACCGGGCTAACACTGGAATTAACAAAGATCGAAATGCATACGTATGGGAGCGCACTTCATCGGGCTGGAAGCCAACTCTCGTTTTACTCCGCATCAACCGAGCAGCAACTTTCGTTAGATGGTCGCCGTCGGAGCAGAAGTTTGCCGTTGGTTCAGGTGCCCGCGTGATCGCCGTGTGCTATTTCGAAGAGGAGAATGACTGGTGGATTTCAAAGCATCTGAAGAAACCAATTCGGAGCACTATTACAACTCTCGCATGGCATCCGAACTCAGTGCTTCTGGCTGCAGGTTCCACCGATTCTCATGCCAGAGTCTTCTCTAGCTTCATCAAAGGCGTCGATACACGTCCGGAGCCGAGTGCCTGGGGAGAGCGTCTGCCTTTCAACACCGTTTGCGGCGAGTTTCTGAATGACTCCGCAGGATGGATCCATGGAGTCTCATTTTCTCCCAGCGGAAACGCTCTCGCGTTTACTGGACATGATAGCAGCATCACTGTCGTTTACCCGAGTGCCCCAGAACAGCCCCCTCGAGCGATGCTGAACGTGACTACTCGTCTACTGCCATTTACAAGTCTCATTTGGAATGGAGAAAACGAAATAATCGCTGCCGGTCACGTAAGATACTGTCTCGTGGGAATTGCATGACTTCAAAGCTAACTCACCGATTTAGGATTGTGAACCTTATCGTCTTCGCGGCGACGAGAATGGATGGCAGCTTACAGGGACCATGGAGAACAAGACAGGCCCGGGTGCCGGTACCGCGCGGGAAGAATCCGCTCTGCACATGTTCCGTCAGATGGATCTCAAGGGGCAGACCCAAGCTGATATTCAACTCAAGTCAACCCATCAGAATACCATCAGTACCGTGAGGGTGTATGAGGAGACCGATGGTATTCTACGCAAATTTAGTAGTGAGCTCTTCCCATAATTTGGCCCTCGTCTGTACGACCCCTACTAATTTTTGTTACAGCGAGTGGGGTTGATGGCCGTGTCGTTGTCTGGACCATATAGACGGTCCAACTTGGGCAACATTTGATGATGCATAGTACGTGAAGGGCCAGGTGCCTTGGCTTAGTACTCTGTTGCCCCGCTTTCGGAAGCTATTTTGCATGTATTACAAGGGGGCACTTTTCGCTTTAGAAACTCCTTGAATTCAGTACATAGAATCTGGTGGTTTGTGTCGGACCTGGATTGTGCATTTCAATAAAAGCTTGAACTGTACTATGTATCGGTATGTAATTGTGCAGAGAATAAAAGATTTACGAGGTTTACCGCCTACTATACTGGCTTGGTTATGGTCGTCTCAGGATTCCAAGCTGATGTACTGAGTACATACCCCGTAGTGGGTCATGTAACGTAGTACTGTAAACCCCTGAAATAATGGATCCACTCTGGTCGTAATCTCCCCCGGATTCTCCGACGTCACGCCTCGCCGGGTGTCACGAGCAATTGTCTTGAACAAATGCGACCACGACAGTCTCCCAGACCGCTGCATCATGAATAATAGATGACAATGATTCTGAAATTCAGGACCAGAACTCTACCATGGCCATTAACTCGGGTCGTCAGGAACTCTTCTACATTCTTCTCGCCTTAGCCTCTATATCACTTGTCTTGCTTGTCCGCCGCACAGTCTCTTCCGTCCAACTTGATCGGATCTCGCTTCATGAAGCTCCGCGTTCGGTTCCCAATAGCCTTTTCCATGAGCTGGATCAGCTCGCACGCGTGGTTGATGTCTCTTACTGTGTCGGCAATACCGGACTCCGAAAACCATTTGAGTGTCTCAGTCACTGCGCCGACCTGGAAGGATTCGAGCTGATATCAGTAGGTGTCTCGTCTGTTATGCGGAGAAGAAGTTGACCTATATCTAAACGCGCGCACCCTGATAGGTATGGAATACAGGACCTTTTCTGTCGGACTCCTGCGGTTATATCGCCCTTTCCCATCCGCCGTCACCGAAGCGGATCATCGTCGCTTTTCGTGGCACCTATTCGATCGCAAACACCATAATTGATCTCTCCGCTTACCCACAAAGCTACGTCCCATACGACCCGGGAAACGACACAGGAGCGGGAGCGGGCACGCTTCATTGTGATAATTGCACCGTTCATGCGGGGTTCATGGCGTCCTGGCAGAACACACGCTCGGTCGTCCTGGGCTATGTCTCTGCCGCAAGGCTACAGTATCCAGACTACGACCTGTCTCTAGTTGGCCACTCTCTGGGTGGAGCTGTCGCTGCCCTAGCTGGAGCGGAGATGCAGCTACGAGGCTGGAAACCAACTGTGACAACATTTGGAGAACCGAAGGTTGGAAACCAGGGTTTTGCCGAGTATCTTGCCGATTTGTTCGAACTACCAAGGGGAGCGGCATCTGTTCCCGTCGAACGTCGCAGATTCCACCGGGTTACCCATATTAACGATCCCGTTCCGCTCTTGCCACTCGCGGAATGGGGCTACGAAATGCATGCGGGAGAGATTTTCATCGCGAAAGAAGACCTTCCGCCATCAGTCTCTGATGTCAAGGTCTGCGAGGGTAACAAGGACGAACGGTGCATATCCGGTGCAGCTCGCACTTTGATGCTCGCACTTCGCGAAACGTCCTCCCTTCTCGTACGACCACAGAGTGTCAATGCGCCTCCTGATTTGAAGGAACAACAGGCGCTGACGCATGGGTCTTCGTTTAAAAGTTCTGTCTCAAGATCACAGCATGAGGGACAGCTCCGCGATGAAACATGGCGACGAATCCACTGGCATTTGAACCCATCGCATTTGCATTTATGGGAGTTATTCTTCTCTCATCGAGACTACTTCTGGCGACTGGGGCTTTGTATCCCGGGAGGAGACCCTACTGGCAAGGAGTGATAACCGATCGATATTGTTTAAGATAAGCGCCAGTTTGTATGTGATTCTTTGCGCATGCTCTTTTTTTTTTTTTTTTTTTTTTTTTTTCGTCCAGAAACAAACCTAGCATGGTGTGAGAACTGGCTACATTGAGCGATCATCTTTACTGTGCTCTCAAGGCGCATCTCGTGCAGCAGGTTTGGTCTTGATTGAACCTCGAGATTATAGTACATCATCATCATCATCATCATCATCATCATCATCATCATCATCATGCTTCAAAGTGAAAGAAAGAATAAGTAACTCTTCACATTCCTTGAAAGTCGGCCAGTGCGAGATGGCCAAGCGGAAGACCACACCCGTAGGTCTCTGTATTCTACTGCCAAATATGAGTAAGATGACCAAATCTACTTGAAACTGCGACCTTGGCGAGACTCTTCGCTCTGGACGTCTTCTACAGCAGGGAAGTGAACCTTTTGTTGTAAAAAGCCCAATGGCACAACCATTCTCAAGCCGGGAATATACAAGGTGGTCCACAGCATTACTACTCATCCTCTCAAGCCGTCAACGTGGAGAATGAGGAGGGACGGCGGGGGAGAGGGTTGCTGGATCTAGCTCTTTCTGACCCATGCGTAGTAGCCAGAGCTATGAGTTTCCTGCTTTCTCATTTGCTTAGTCCCATCATGTTATCGTCATGAAGATCCAGCTCCCCTTTCTAATATCACCACCGCATGGCTGATAGTTCATTTGAAGGCGTGAGATAGTAAGGTGTCCCATTATTGTATGTGGTTCCACTGAGTCAACAATCCCTTTTGAAACACTTTATGCTTGGTCCTTTGGTATCGAATTTGCCCTGTGGCCTACCGGACTGTCCTACATGGGATGCCTAGCTCAACTAATTTTGACTCTACTTTGACCAGTTCTCAATTAACCGAAAGGTAGGATGTAACACAGCATTTCGAAGGCAGGAATGTGCCGGTGCCCCGTTAGGACAATACCTACTATAGCCGGCCTCATGGTCCAGCAGCTCTCTTGTTGGCACCGTGGCTTAGCAGCATTGCAGGGATAACGTGTATGACGCGACATTAGTATACAAGATGATCGGCTAATGGCAGATAGTTACTGGTCACTACTAATTTGAACTATGCCACGCAAACAGAAACGTTATAGCCAGACCTTTTCTTCCATCAAAGGCAACAGTATGGAGTGAGGACTTGAGAGCAAGGTAGAGGGGTGATGGCGTTGGGAGAAATATAGATTCCTCCGGTTCACTTTCCAGATTCCAGGCTAGGGACAATTACCGGTCCGTATTTCACAACCGTCCCAAAGGTTCCATCTCCCTGGACCATGAAATCCGCAGCAAGGTTTAACCTCCCACTCCCAGGGTTCGAAATAGCCTGTCCATACATCGTGTTCACAGCGTCCGGATCATAAGCAACGATAGCCACATAGTTTCGACGGCCCATCAGCTTGCGGTGCTCACGACTTTGTCCTGTCACGTCGGATTGGAAGATCTCCATCATATCTTCTTTAGTGTCGGTTGGCTGTGATGGCGTCGAGCGATGGCCGTTGGCGGGAATATAGAGGGGCTTGTTGTTGCTGTGAAGCATTTTCATGACATATGAGGGCGGGGGACTGTTCACGACCGGCGAAGAGATTAGTTGGTACATTGTCTTATGGTTTGACGGATGGGCTGGATCATGCACTAGTCCAGCACCGCAAGCATTCACAGCGCCAGAGAGGAAGGTCATGCGCAAAGACTTCTGATGAGAGATACCCTGAAGGGTGCGAATCAGATAGGTTCGCTCGAGATCCTGTATGCCTCCGTTAATGACCGGTTTCGAACAACTGGTGAGGAGCTCACCTACCTTGGATTCGTGCGTCCATTGGTCTCGAAGCTCATCCAATAGATCCAGCTCCCCGAATGGGCTAAGAATTCCGCCCATGAGACCAGACTTTCCCACAGCACGCTTGACAGAATTGAAACCGGAGCCTACGACGTCCTTGGCTCCGACCACACCGGCTACGGAGCTGGTGACTTTCCCAAGAACATTGTATGCCCCGGTCACGGCCCTCTTTCCCGTTGCAACCGTATGTGCTATATGTTCTGCTGTCTCTAGCCGTGGATAAATGATGGGTACCGAGAGCATCCACAGGCAGTGTTGCACATTAGCAGGGAGCATTGCCACTTTAGGAAAGATGCCTTGATATGTTGGACCAGCTATGACCTGGTGCGGGTTGCGCTCTGATCGACAATCTAGCCCGACGACGACTACAGCGGGTCCCAAGTATTTCACAAAATGCCAGCCAGTACCGGTTATTGTGAATAAATCGGTGTCGGTCCTGGTACTGCGGAGTAGATCCAGAGTGGTATGATGCTGGAAGAGCAGATACATCTCCGTTCCAATTCGGCCTATATTCTTGAACATGTTCGAGAATTGCATGTGCTCCGGGTAGGAGCCATATCCGTCAAAGCTGGAATCATTAGTCGCGGCTGTTTGTTCGTGGCGTGAATGCACTTACATATCATGATCGTCAATCTGGCAGACATATGGGATCTGCGCGAATGACTCGCGCAGATAGGGTTGGTCAAAATGGCTCGTGTAATAATGGAAGTACGCATGGGAAACGTCTTCTTCGTGGGCTGTGGTCCATGGCGCGTTTTTTCGCGTCTCCTTTCCGCTCATTGCAAGCCACTGCTTCAGACACGAGATCTCCTTCCACATACGATCAGCGTAGATCTGACCTCCAAGGCAGAGTTGCACATGGAATCCCCCGATTTCGTTATGTTTCTGCATAATATCTTTCCACATGAACCCTATACCCCCAAGGCGGGACCGTTCATTCGCATTCACATTCAAGGAGAAATCGTTGCCAGACGTAGTAATAAAGCGCCAGCTTGTTTCGTATCGCCCTGCAATAAGGAACTCATACCGTGTGCAACCCAAATGAGACGTGATGGCGTAGGTCCACTTAGCAGGCCCTGTTTCATCCATCTGTAGATCAATCTCGTACTTGTAGAAGGTCCAACGCTGGTGCACAGCGATAGGTGTCGCCTTCAATTGACGTGGATTCGGTGAAAGATCAATACTCTGATGGATATGTATTGTAGGAGGTTGCGCCGCATCGGTGACTAGAAGTATGGAGCCCATCCAAACGCCTCGCTCGACATCCATATTGGTGTAGCGGAGATACGGGCCAAAGTATACACCATTCGTCGGTGCGACTTTATACAAATCTATCCCATTACTTGGAGGAGGCCCACTAAACCCTGCCACAACAGGAGATTGCAGGCTCTCGTATCCTGGGGTCAAAGGGAGGCCAGGAGAGGTCAGCGGCTTACCAAATGCCGAGAATACCGGCGAAGCCAGAGGGTGACTGCTGTACACGCTGCCTACCGGGGACAATGGAGTGTCATTGAGGTTCAAAGGCGTTGGCCCTTTGGGAAATTCCCACTGAGTTGATTGAGTGGGCAGATGAATGTAATAATATTGGCCGGAGTTGGAGTCCAGGTGAGCAATCCACCCTTCGGGTAGTGGTGGCGGAGAAGCCGGTGGAAGTCCAGAGGACGCGGACGACAACGTATTCACTTGAGCTTGCTGGAGAACGGAGTGGTGACCGCTCTACGACAGCAATGCCTGCCCGCCGACCTCGGGCGACACCGCCAGTGACCCCTGACGTCGCAAATCATTTGCAAACGCTGGATGAGCGGATGCAACGGGCGCAGTGGCATGAGAGGCACTACCTGTGGGACTCGTAGCGTTAGAGTGAGCGTCTGTGACAGGTTGCTGTCCCGCCGATGCTACAGGCCGCTGCTTTTCAGCGGAATAGGCTTGTGAGGTAGCGGGCCCTGATACACTTGAATAGGCCGGCGGGGGGGAAGAGCTAATTCGCATGCGCTCAAGGTCATTTTCAAGAGCATTCGGGGGGATCCTCGCTGGTTGCTGAACCGGCGCAGCCTGGTACGATGCCTCTTCTGGTTCTCTGCTTGGTGCTGAACGACCCTCATCCGATACAACCCCTGCCCCCTGATATACAGTAGGGGGCCCATGAGGTTGCGTGCCAGGTTGTTCGGTCGGAGTCCACGGCCGCGGTATCTCCGGCGCTGGTTGTCGACTTCGAGGCTGTTGTCCGGCGTATTGTTCTACTCTCCTCTGGGCGGCAGCGCTTCGTGCTTGCAAGCCTGCTAGTGTCGAAGTCCCAGCTATCCCAGAAGCTGCGTATCGAGCCTCGATATCTGATGCCGGATGTTGTCCAGGTTCTACCACCGGAGTCTCCGGTGGCGGTGGCGAGCCACGTTGAGCACGCGTCGTCGAATTTGAGGCTGTGGAGCTGATTCGATTGATTGTGCTATTCGGCTGCAGATCATTCTGTGAGACGCTTGGTCTCGGGGACGCTTGTGGAGGCGGGTAGTAAAGCGTGTGTTGTTGCTCGGGGCTGCTATTTTGCGGGTATGCGCCGTCGTTTGACAATGCGGGAGCCGGAAAGCGGGGGTGGATTCTAGCAAATAATCCTTCTCTGTCTGGAGAATCGCCGCTTGGAGATTCAGGGAGCGGCTTTGGGACATTCCCTCGTCGCTCAGCTAGAGTTGCCTGCTTGGGTTCACGTCCTTCACGGGGCCGCAGAGCTGTAGAAAACCCTGAATGCTGCGAGGAGATATGATTCGGAACAGTGGGAGAATCGCAAGATGCCGCTGCTAAGCTGATCGGACTAGAACCACTGGAACCCGCGGTTCGAACCTGTTGGGGTCTCTGCCGGTCATCCGGATAGGGCAGAACAATGCCGTTCGATGAGGCTGGGGAAGGGGATTCTCGTTTGTTGATGCGCAGTGGTTCAATAACCGGCGACTCCGTTTGCGATGGCTTCGGTGTGGTGGTAGTCAGGAACAGCTCCTCCTGAGACCGGCTGCCCTGACGGCGACTGGCACCGGCGCTCATGACAAGAGACGAGACAGACAATGGATGTTGACTGCGCTCGGTATCTTAAGCTCTATTGGATATTAGCCGATCGAACGGCAAGTATGCGACCGCAGACGTCGCCACGAAGACCCACGACGCGAAGCTCCCTCTAGAAGGAAGAGAGGATGAACTGCTGACAGAGAATGTGCTGATGGCAACTAAGGCCAGGACCTAGGATAGTGAAAGGATAGAGGCAAACCAGAGCTACGAAGAGGGGGGGGGGGGGGGGGGGAAGAGAGAAGAAGGAGGAAGGAGAAGGAAAGGGGAAATAGGGAAAAGGAGTCGAAGCGGGGAAGGAAAAGGCAGCAAGCGTCGCAGTCTACTTCAACTTATTATAAGTTAGGTAGTTAATGTTAATTAGTTAGTACGGACGGATTACTTCAGGACGCATTATTGCATGCGAGCATGCGAGAAGGACTGAGATAGCCGCCGAGGTGGTGCCCAGCGGTCGAATCATTGGCTCCAGCAGACCCGGCGCCGGCCATGGAGGGGCAACTGAGCAGCGAATCGATGCCATCGAATCCCAACCTAGTTGAACACCAGTGAGGAAATGAAAATCAATTGATTCATGGACATCATGATTTACCGGAGCAGCTATGGACACAGTTGGGTATATATATACGCGCATACATCTTCTCGTCAACAAACAAAAATAAAAAGACATGGCAAGAACACCAAGAAAAGAGAAAGAGAAGCACTTTGTCGGGTGGTCATTTACAACTGACCAGTTGCAGCCCATGCTCTGCTAGCACTTCGACCCAACTAAACCCCAGTGTATCCTCACCACAGCTCGAATGCTGGATTTGGCGTTCGTAAATGACTTGCAGGATATGGCACGCCGTTGCTGCATTGGACCCTATGTCTGTCTCCTCCAGTCCAGAAAGCAGTTCCAGAGCCATCATTTTGAGACTGCTCGATGCAGCAACTGCTCCTGACAAGAACAGAGGAAAGACCATGAACGGCCTGTCGCCCCGACTATCCCGGCTTAGAAGCATGGAGGACATCTGGATAATCATCGTGGCGTGATGGTGAACGCTTTCCTCCGACGCGGCACTGGGTCCAAGCCGTTGCCCAGGATATACGCTCGTGAAGGAGAAGAGGAAGCAAGTGTGAAAAAGGATGGAAATCTGATGAAAGTGACAAGCTGTCAGTATCTGGCCCGTAGAGTTTGAATGGCAAGCGATGCATGAAAGAGTTGGCTGACCTGCTGAAGCATATCGTGCGATCGCTTTGGAAGGCCGGCCTGATTGTGGATCATGTACTGAATCTCAGGATGGTCCCAAAGTCCAGCCAAGGCTTCACGTATATGCCTAAGTTCTTGTTGGCGTGAATTTAACCTTGGGTCAAAGGACTGCGCCTTTGCCTTTCTTAGCTCAACAGAAACAACCCCCAGGCGTATAGCTAGTATGAAGGTATCATAGTATAGGCGCGAAAGTGTAGATATACCATCGTAGTCGGCATAGAGTAGGCTCGAGTCCTCGGGCCCGATGGGATGGAAGAGGGACTTCAGATCAAGGAGCAACTGGTGGTTAAGTACGGCTCTTACATACTCTCCTGTGCCTGCACCGCTGAGGAGGGCGTAGAGATCCACGTTGCAGACCCACCAGACGACAAAGGGGAAGGGTTCTGGACCGGGAGTCGACTGTCGAAGTAAGGAGATATGAAGTAATTGGGACACGTGATGAGACCAGAGGCTCGAATTGGAGACGTTGCAAGCCATGACCTGAAGAAAATCAGATCAGCACGCATCGGATTGTGCGAGTCTGAAAGAATGTACCGACCTCATATACGAGTAGCAAGAAGTGTGAGAGGAAGCTCCCGTCTGATAAGAGATCTTCGTTGCTCTGGATTCTACTCTGTAGAGTGGATATCGTTTGGTGGTGATAATAAGAAGGATCTAGGTTGTGATGGTTGCCTTGGCGGGCAAGGCTGAGTGCGGATATGGCCGTCAATGCATGGTAGAGCTGAAGATGTAGGCATTAGACAATGTGTATCGTGGATGTCCCAACTGCAGAAAACTAACCGGGGGAAAATTGGCAGCCTCTTGCTCGAGAAGCTCAGCAGTCAAGCCATGACCATTATCTATACCAACATTGCATATCAATTGTGCACAGACAACACGACGAAAATGATCCAATAGGATGAAATCATAATGCCCCAGATCGAGATGATCTGAAAGATGTTGCCAACCAGGTACTGTATAATCGGAGATCGGTTCAGGTCCTGATGCAACAGACAATATTGAGCTGCCCGGATCGGATTCGGGGGACTGCGAAGGACTTCTTCGGTGGAAGTACTGGGGCCTTCTTGTGTCACGGAATTTTTGTAAAATCACCACATTTGGCCCGCAGGCCCGCGTGTCGTTCTCAACCGGGTCACTTTCAGAGATGAGAGTCGAGCCCAGGGAGACCGTGGACTGATCTGCGTCTGCTGCCCCATCCGTGTACTCTGGCAGCTGGGAGAAACTCTCTGGAATAGCAACAACATGATACGTCCCCGGGATAGCTGACTGAGCTTTTCGTTCCCGCTCTTCATCCGAACCAAGCATGACGAAGGGCGGAAGCATATCGCAGGTGAGTGGGACGGTCGGGGCGCTTGTCCTGGCTGCACACAAGTTAGCCATCCCTCAACTCCAGCTGTACCGAGTTTCTATGGCACACAGAAGCCAACTGAGATGCCTTACAATCCCACACTACACTGGTCTTCAATTTGACGTCCGGCATTCGCTCCATGACTCGGCGGGTATCGTCCCGGAAACATAGACGTGGTCGATAATCACAGATATGGCCTAGACGAGCACATTGCTAGGAGATCAAGAAATGTTAGACTCGCCCACGACGACATAATAGTGAAAGGCCCTAAAGTCGGTAGGGGACGGGGAGCTGGATAGGGAGGGAATCACATTGCACTGAGGATGGACTTCATCGCACTTGACTGTGTGGCTGATCAGTAAAGATGCACCATAAGATAATGAGAAAGAGAGACGATTCAGGTCGTCTCTTTTCTGTTTCTATTTCTTTCTCTTTTTGTTTTGGTGGGTCGACGGTGAAAGAAAGACTAGATTATATAACTCACCCTTGCGACTCTACTTCCCCATTTAAAAAAAAGATTAGCAGGCGTAAGGAGGAGACTTTATCGGTTGTAATTTAGAGGGGAAGGCTCACTCTGCATGTCCTGAATCCCATCGGATAGGGTTAGGAAAGGTCTGAATACTTGGTTCAGGTAGGCGGGACATACCAGCAACCGGTCCGGGACCGGGGTGGGAAGCGCAGACGATGTTGTCTCGCAGACGGTTTCTTAGGCACGGGAAGATCAAGCGCGGTGTTCGGGGAAGTGATAATATCCTTAGGAGCTATGATGGGTAGCCGTAGAGGCCGTTTCCTCGCGGTTTGACCGCGTCGGTTGGACATCACGATGCCGATAACAGTCATTGAGTCGATTGACTCTGTGAAAGTAGCCAATCAGTTCGGCTCCTCAGCCAGTTTGAATGTTCAGTGGAACTCGACCTACCCTTCTGCTTCAGGGTATTCTTCTCACCTGGCAGAAACAATTGGTAGGTGCTTTCCCGAGACAATGAGCTAGAGATAGGCTGATTGATGAGAGTGACGAGAGAAGAATGCATAGTCCAGTCAACTAGAAGGACAAAATCTGGAGATTAAGGGACAGATACGACGGGCCGCTGAGCATCTCTATATGCATTATTTGAAGAAACTTAAAATGTAATAGGATAGAATCGGAAAGCAAGAAGCGAGAGTGGCAAAGGATGGGCGGGGGAGTGGATTTTAAAAGAGGAGATCAGAACGAAGGGAAAGAGGCAAAAAGAGAAAGGAAAAAAAAAAAAAAGAGAGAACAAGAAACACGAGAGACCACGATGGAGCGAGAGGGAGAGAGGGGGAGAGGAAGAATTCCGTACAAACTACAAACTACAGCGCCGATGCAGAATGATGATACCAAGTGTTTCCGAATCAGCCAGCCCTGTTGACAGTGGCGGTTATGGAGTCATTGAGACCGAGGCGAATCAGAAAGGTCAACGCGAGTTGCTTGCTTTCCCCGGCCCCTCTCTCTCCTTCTCTCCCTTCGCCGCTGGCGGTGACTACTACTAACTTAGGGTACTAATACTACTCATACTACTGCTACTACTACTACTACTACTACTACCACCGCGCGCAACGGCATGTTTGTCTGTGTGATGGGGAGATGGGATGGATCACGACCAGGTGGGTTAGGCTTGTACCTTAGGCGAAAGATTAGCCTGCACCTCCCCCCCCCCACCTCTCCTCCTCCCCAATGCAGGAGCAACAAACGAGAAAACAGTTAGGACAGAGGGTCAACCAAAAAAGCCCGGTCCCAAAGTGGTCTAGTAGTCAAAATGCAGATGCCAACCATGTGGCAGGGGGAAAGCCTCTCCGGAGCGTAACCCCCAAACAGCAGCGTGTTCCCTGCAAGCCCGACGCTGGAGCTGGTGAAAATGATGCAAGGCCTCGGACTCTGATAGATCGATCCGCGGGTGTCCCCATGCGGTGGAGCAGCCTTGTTCATGGGATGATCTGCTGGGGTCGAGATCCTTTCCATGCCTAAGGTAACTACGGGAGTAGTTAGTACTACATAGTATGTGGTTAAGTTGTTTGAACTTACCAGGTATTTGTCACACATGCACGTGGACTTGGGGGAGAGGTGGAAGGGGGTGTGCGTGTCGGGCGAATGAGAGCGAGAGAAACAGCCACCGACCGCAGGCCTGAGATTGAAGAAGTTAAGGAACAGAAACCAAGCTTGCGGGAAGCGTAACAGGATGATGGGTCGCAGTCATCCATGGTTCATGGTTCATGGTTCATGTCTGTCTTTCAGTGCATGGTACCTATGTGTATCTCCAGGCTAACTGGCTTACTATCCTATCTAGTTTAGTCTGGGGAGTCTAGCCCTTTCGGTCCGGTGAGTTTCGGCCACGCCGGTTGCCAAAAACAACACCCACGCGAGTTGAAGACGGCCTTGGCAATTAACACTGCCACTGATTGGCGGGATGGTCACGGGGTTCGGGTACAAATCGGCGCTGCCAAAAAAAAAAAAAAAAAGAAGAACGGACAAAATCTTCAAACAAGCCACAGACTAGTCCCGTTCCTGCCAACCCTCCTCGATCTATCCATGATCCATGATGGCCAAAGAGTCTAAGACTTAACCAAGTATGCACCGAGTAGGTAATGTGCTGTATGTATGTACGTACTGTACTGTAATGCAATATACTATACTGTACTGTACTGTACCCATCAACAAATCAATCATCCTACCAGTGCACCTGTTCTCGGAGCCGAATCTTCACGGTACTGAAGAATTTAAGGTAATGAGTAATCTCTCGCCTATCCCGGAACTTCCTGGATTCCTTCCTGGCACCATAACCTTAAACTTGTGCAAAAGAGTCTTATCATCAGCTAGCTCTAACCTGATTTATGACATGATCATCCCCCTTTTTCGCTTCTGACATATCTGGTCTGAGCGTCGATAACTCACGATCCTCATTATACACCTAGTATGGAGTACGGAGTACAGTACGGAAACAATCATTAACTATTAGTAGTTATAATTCCCTAGTGGCTGGTGCTGGTGGCTGGCAGGTGGCGGTCTGAGGACTGTCCGAGGCGAGGTCGAGTCGATTTGTAGTTCAGTCTCTCTACTTTGACTTTCCGCACTTCAGCTTCATTCCTTTATCTCCGGCCCCGGGCTCGGACGCTTAACTGTCATGGATATTTGGACAGACTAATACTCACCTACCTGTAATTGATCCTGTATCCTCTGCAGGTAGCTCTCAGCTGCCCAGGAATTCTGTGTCAATATATCAGTCATAGTGAGTGGTATAGTAATGTTAACTTTACCCCCCTGGGATCGTATCGGGGGAAAGTTGTTCCTTCAGATACTTTTGTTTCCGACGGACAGACGGCTTTATCTTCCGACCCTATCATCCGAAATTTTTCTTTCTTGTTGTCTTCGTTTCGCGGGGTCTGCCTGACCCATTTTCAGTTTCGATACGAGATCAATACGTATAGTCTTGTTTTCCTATGTCCTGAGATTCCTCACACACAAATCTTCAGCCATAAATTACCGGTATCTCTAATCCGTTACCCTGACATGCCCTACAATGATCATGTCCTCTACTCGCGCTAACTTAGTCTGCCAGTCGCACCAGATCGACCGACCCCTTTGCCCCCCCCCTCTGTCCGATGCCCAAATCACCCCCCTTCCCCCGCGAGACTCATCTGGGCCAATCTAGATCTTCGGCATAGCCGCTGCCATCGGGTGAGACTCATTTTCACCATCGATTTCCTCCTTTCCTCCCCATCGGATCCGAGCAAAATTACCTACTACTAGGTATGTATGAAAGCAGATTTGCCACTGGCGGTCTCAGAGAGGAAGTGACTGTATACCGTGTCCGTGAGTAGGTAGGTACTGTACAGTACCTGATCCCACCCCGCGACCAATTGGCTGCCACTTTTGTTTAATTCTACTGTAAAAATCACCACGCATTCCTAGGTAGTGTTGACCTTCATTCATTCTTTACCTCACATATCTCTACATGATTCTCGTTTCTCTTCCCTCTCTGCGCCTCCTCCAATGGACAACGGACCGCTCTTCGGGCGTATCATCTTTTATTGTCAGTGCCTGGACCGAGCTCAGCCCTAGTCTCATGATCAATGCATGTTCCCCTCATCTTTAACCCTCCCTTTCGTACCCCGTCTTCATCCCCATCGGGCCATATCTGCTGTCGTCCGATGGCCAGTGAGACATATCCCCCGCATGATCTCAAATAGAGATTATGAGCCGTATCTCACAAGATCACTGACGGCGGTGTTTCGGCCGCGAGCGCCCGGTCGAGTACCTGTTGTACCAACCCCGACCGTTCCTCGTCTCTCCATGCCCGTATGGTTTTCCATAGTGTCTCGTCAATTGGACATCTCATCTGCGTGCACAACTTGACATATGAAGCAGTCGCCTGTGCACGCCCTAAACGCACTTTTTCCAACGAGGTATCGATATCACGAGATAGCATCTCGCTGGCTAGCGCCGCCAAGGCCTTTTGGGGTCCGCGTAGATCGACTTCGCCACTCTGCGAGGCTTCCCACGTCCCTAATTGGTCGAGTACTGCGCAAAGCTCTCTATACAGTGTTGTTTGCACGTTTCTGCCTCCGCGTCCCAATGCTCGGCGCAGGTTTGGCACAATACCCTCCATGTGTTCCTGTACAACTGGATCGTTGTTAGCGCCCGATAAACTTTCAGGCCGGCTGCATGGGAACCTACCACTTGCTGGCTGATGCGATACAGGTTGGCAACAATGCAGGAGACATTCGACACATGCGGCTAATGTATCATCGAGAACTTGCCTAAAGAGTTTGTCAGTTCTTATCCGAGCTGGTTTGTTTAGTTTGAACCAATATCGGCGATGGAGGTCCGTAAGAGCCACAATGTGCAATCATTAGTGGTCCAAGTATTTCATTGGACCCCAAGCCTCCATTGGGGAAGGGATCCGACTTACGTAGGTCTCCGGCTGCTTCCTGCATCGACTTCCATTGGATCCCCGTCCTCTTCTATCTGGTCCAACACTTGAGTGACGATGCTGATGGTCTCTGGCATAAAATCAAGGTCCTCGCGCGCTTGCGACACCTCGCCAAGAACAATGAGAGCGTGAGGTCGGTAGGTCATGTTGTTTCGCTTGGCTTCTCGGAGGGTAATTGTCTTGTTCAGCCATACGCGTCAGTTCTGAGTCTCGAAACACAAATGGGTTAGAGCTGCGGAAGGGAATACCTTCGTAGCCTCTGCAAACTGAGGCTTCGCTTCCCATAACCTTTTCGCCTGCTTTATGAATCTCGCAAAGGCTTTGAGCACCACTTCTTTCCCATCCCATGTTTTACCAGCCAACGCTTTTTCCAACACAGGCCATATGTGTTCGCTCGTGGCAAGATCCAGCTCAGCATCAAGAGACATGATAGCATTTGCAAGTCCCAGTGCGGCTGTGTGCTTAATAGCCCAGCGCGCTGATTCCAGGCTTTGAGACACAAGGTCGACAATCTCCTTGATGTAGAGTGACACTGCGCGGTTACCACCGACATTGTCCTGCCATGCTTTCTCGAATACTTCCCGAACATGGTCATCCAAATCGTACTTAGACACAAAGATGAATGGCAGTGCCGCCGTGGCGAATGCTATAAACCGGTCATTAGCTAGCTTCGACGTCGAAAGCAAAATCTCAGCCGAAATAGCACGCTGATTGGTGTCTTCTGCGGAAAGGTATAATTTCTTCGCGTGCTCGACCGTGCTCAAGAACTGCTCATCAGAAGCAAGGCGCATCAAATATCCGATTGAGGAGCAATAGGACGCGCTAACAGTGTCATTACGATCTACCACGTGTTTCCCAAGGAGCTGAATAAAGCGGTCTGCAAAGGGACGAAATAATGTGGTTCGCATGCTTAGGAGCACCAAGACACGACTGCAGCCCACCTTGGACGGAAGACCCACTGCTGAGCGCAGTACTCCCTCTAGCCTCAAGGCAAATTCCTTCATGCTCTCTACATCGAGCATATCAATGAGGTACCGCTCAATGACTTCCATCATAGGCGACGTGCGGATGCTGGATAGACGCATTTTGTCGATATCCTGCCCCGTCAAGCCATACTTGTCGGCGTTGAGATGAACGTAGTTCACGGCCTGGGGCTCCAGGGAACTCAAGCAGCTTAAGAACTGTTCCATGATGTGAGGCACGAATGGGCGCAGCGGTTTTCCAGGGCTCTTCTTGATCATTTGAATCAGTGCTCCAATCGCGAATCCTTGAACTTCTTCGACCCCGGACTCCATGCCCTTGTCACTCAGCAGGAACGGGATAACAGTCTCCAGCATTGAACCAGCTTGCTTCGCATCGGGTTTGCTTGTCTCTAATGTGCGCATGATCATGTTGGTGATGGTCTGGCAAAGCTTCATCGCTGACACCCGGACTGTTTCTTTGATGTCATCCAGTAGCTTAAAGGCTTTAGTAAAGATCTCTTTCATATACCCCGCGAACATTTCCGGCTGGCGGCCCTGAATGAGGTCGGCAATCGCAGCGCAACTCGCTTGCCGAGCCCTCCATTCTCGTCCCGTCAGCATGCTCTTCAGTAGATCAGTTATAATCTCATCGAAATGAGCATCAATAATTTCCGTGGGATTCTTGACCAAGGCCCGCCATATTGTGTCCATCGATCGCTGCACATTTGGGTTCGGGTCGAATCTGTAACGAAACAATTTCGGATAAATCTTGGGGTTCTTCGCAAGGTAACCGTCCACGCTTGAGTCGGAGAATATGCTGCTTATTCCCAACTTGCTGAAAGCTGCACGGCTGGTCCAAAGGGCATCGTTCGAGGCCAGCGCCATGAACCGATAAACCAGAGTAGGATCCCCCGCTTCGGCAGCGAGGTTCATGATATCTTTATACGTATTCACAGATGATCCACCCCCGGTTGGTAAGGCTCCTGGCTCGAACAATTCGGTAGAATCGTTTACCCGGCCTCCTCTAAAATTTGACTTGCCTTCAGTAAAAGAATCCACCAGATCACGCACCAGGTCGTCCTTCAGTCCCCGGTCACCAACTCCGTAAACGAGACTTAAGCCTTGCGCTCCGGTCTCTTGGACGACTTCTTCGCGATCAGCAAGCAGATTGCTAAATGACCGCTGGCACTCTCGCAGACGAGCTTGCATCTCAGGCAGATGACCGCAGTTTTTGACAAGGCTCAAGAGCCATATAGCAGCGGCCTTTCGCAGTGAGGGTTTCGACGCACTGCAGCTAGATAAGATTTTGTCGCATACCTCAGCGAGAACTGATTCTGGGATTGCGGACGCGGGAATCGCTTCGTCCACATCAAATTCCAGTACCAGTGACCTAGATCTCCAGCCAGCTGCAGCATTGCTCAGTGCCTCGCCGACTGTAAAGTGAAGCTCTGAGTTGCGATTCTCATGAAGATCATAGAGGGCTTGCGTTAGTCCGTCGAGTCCTACACCAGTAGAGTCACCTCCGGAGATGGCCATTGATAACAGTCCAATCGCCATGATGGCCACTTCATTCTCTGCTTTGGCCGCCTGAACAAGTCTTTCTCTAATTGTGACCCATTTAGATTCAGGAAGCATAGAAAAGGACAGGAGATTAGAAAGACCAAGTCTCCCAACTGCAGCTTGGGCGGACCGGCAGAGGAGAGAGTCTCGAGCATTCTCTACCATATCGGAAACGGTGTCAATGAACCGTCTCACATAGGCTTCCGGCACTTTAAAAATCATGTTGCGGAACGCAAGCCTGCTCAATAAGTAAGATAGAGCCATAACTGCACCCCTGACCCTAAGTGCTGCCTCCCCGATTGCAGCTTTCCACTCCACCATCAAGTCTGACAGTTCAGTGATGAGTGCAGTCAAATCCGTGGTCGAAAAGGCGGGATGCGAAGCCAGAATGCCAATCGCTCGCGCAGAAGCGTCCTGTACCTCCTGATCATTACTGTTCAATGGTTCTCCGAGTGCCAATGTTTGCGGCACCACCTTCTCAAGTATGTTGTTGGGACTCAGGGAAGCTATGCTGATGAAGAGCCTCCCGCATTGTTGTGTGCCTTTCCTGTTCTCGCGAGATAAGCCAGCAAGCGCACTCGAGAGAAATAGGGCAATTGGTTCGCCGTCAGTAGATCGAAGGTAGCTTCTCAATGCATCTCGTGCTTGTTGATCAGAGCTAAGCATCACATCCAATTTGACATCCCAGTCATGTTCTATCTCAAAACCGGCCTCTGAAGCGGAGATGGATTCCCAAAACAATATGTTACGAAGAAACTCGATAGCCGCTGGGAAGGCGTTCTGGTAAGGTCCCGATAGTATGTCCAATGCAGATAAACCAGATATGCCTTGCGATGGAGTGGTGCCAAATAGAAAGCGCACCGCGTCAGAGAATCTCGGAAAACAGTACCACGCAGATAGCTCATTGGAGGACAAGTTATGATCGTGATTGGAATTTTGGAGTCGGAACCAGTAAGGATGCAGGCCTTTCTGTCCCTCCTCTACCACTTCATGATGCTTTTCTGAGCCGCGAGCAATGGCCAAGAGATCTATCCATCGGGCGATAACATCATTGTAAGGTAAAAATCTGTTCGCAAATCGTACTGCTGCATACTCAGGGCCCCGGACAACAGTAAACCCGGTCAGAGGGTCCTCTTGTTCAGGCTGATTACTCATTTGCTGAAGGAGAAAGGGTCGCAGTTGCGCTTGAAAGTCATGATCCCATTTCTTCATTGAAGAACTGAGAATATTTCCTAATGCCTGTTCGATACTGACGAAGATCTGAGTGCTTGAATCATCAGAGCTGAGCGATGTAAATAGCCATTTGATAAGTCCAAAGCCAGACAAAGCATCCTCTCCCTTCTGGACCTGAAAGTCTGCTTTGGGAATCATGATACCAATACATTCGTAGGCCATGCCTCGCAAACTAAGTTCTGTCTGCGGGAGTTTTTGACCACTTGCCGCGGGACTTGGCCATCCTTGAGACTGGATGAAGTCCATCAAGCCTGCTATGAGCTTCGGTGCCATTTGTTGTAAATCATCTGGCGAGCCCATCCTCACAACCCACGTAGTAAAATTGAAAATTTGTGTCCGTAGCTTGGACGCTTGCAGCCCTTGTATAGACCTTGCGCTGTCTGATAGAAGGCCTTCTCCTATTACCTGCATAATGCGCTCTTTGTCCCTAGTCGCCCTGATTGATCTCCCTAGGAAGGCCAGTATTTTGATCTGCAGAGCAGGTCGCGCTGGCGCAGCCCCATCTGGTGTTCCTGCACCCAGGTAGAGGTCGTACAACTGCCGCACAACATGGGGATCCTCAAGACTTGGTACAAACCTTTTGAGGCATTCCTCGCCGATATCAGAGAGACGAGTGTTAGCATCCGCTGATGCAATCACAGCAGGCAGGAATCGCTCTGAATTGGCAAAGGCTCCGCTGGCTAGGAATCTGAGGACATTGACTTTAGTCTCGGTGAGATTTAGTCCACCATCGGAAGCATTCCATGTCTCGGAGATCAGAGCATCTTTGTTCAGAAAAGTGTAATCTGCTGGAGATAGTCCCGGGCATGTGGACTTATGCTTGTCCGCGGGAGAAAGAATAAGCAGTTTCTCAAACAGAGATGACAAAAATTGCGTGTCTTGGTCAGAGAGACCCAAATGAGTCTTTAATCGCAGGTCTTCGTCACTATCCTTGGGTGGTAACTTCAAAAGCGGGAGAAGCCTCAGAACCAAGTTGAAAACAGTAGCAGCTTGATTGGTGGATGAGCCGATTTCCGAGATTCTTTGCAGTAAAGGGAGTAGGATCTCTACCCTTGCACTTGACCCTAGGCGATGAACACCCTGCTGAATATAGAGCAAGTCAAAATGTCTGATCAGGTGAGATTTCTGTTCCTTGAACTGTTTCAACAAAGCCGCCACGGGGAGCTTGATAGTTGGGGATTGAACTCGGGTGTTGATGTGCTGACAGACCGAAATGACTTTGTTGCGAACCGCAATGCTCTCAGAGCCTAGTTTCAACAGCAGAGGTGTCAAATAAGTATTTAGGAGGGTCTGCAGTCTATCGTCCGAGTCCGCAAGGGCGATCCTAAGTTCAACCTTGGATATCAAGCTCAATTCGCGAGCTTCAGAGCTCACTGAGATATTGGTTTCCGAAGCCATGGCACAAACACACACGCTCGGAGAGAAGGAGAAATCAAGCAAATATATTGAATAGACAGAATTCACATCGACGCGATGACTGGTGTGAGCCCAAGAAGAGATGGGGGGTTTTCAACTTAACTCTGTAGATCCCCGTTTAGGCAGAGGGAGCTCAACGTCACCCTCAAACCTGAGGCATCCCGATAAGTTAGGCGACGGTTGATATTAGTCATCATTCAATCTGACTCGTAAGCTGCTACTCCGTACTCCGTAGTTACCTAATTAGCTAACTAGTTACCTCAAACTTACATACATAAATTACTGTTAGTCGTGTTATTTCATTACAGTACAGTACACTATATCTACAGTACTGTACATCCAAGGCACTGTATGCCATATCTGGATCTATGAGCTCGGTAGGTGTTGATATTGGCACCAGGACCACTTCCTTTACCCGCTCTCGGCTCACCGTCGGATTCCGGCAGGGATAGTCACTACCACAGACGCGATGTGCATGTTGATAAATGAACGAGTAGCTTTCCCCTCACCTGTCATCATTCCTACTGGTTTCCACTCCGTACTATCTCACGATGGGCAAATTGAAGGACCAGAAGAAGCAGGCTAGCACCTGCTCTCTCCTTGCTACAACCCGCTCGCTATAGATTGGATTGCGTGTTCCTCATGCAATCGGCACCTTGCACAATGAACGTGCCTCGCCACTGATTGCAGAGGACAGTACGGAATACTCCGTACAGTACAAGTACAAATAACCCCCCTCGTAGCGCGCAACGGCGGCTTCAAGCAGTGTGGTACAGGTATATTGCTCACCACCCAAAGAAGACATTTGTTTTTAGATCTTTTCAGTGGGCTACGAGAACTAGGCTGATCTGTCGGTGATCCCACACGCGGTATCGCCATGCGGTTGTTTCTCCATCCCGTCCTTTGGATAGGGCTTTTTTCCTACTACCACCAAGCTTGCGCTCTTTTAGAAGTCTTTGAAGTGTATCAACCCATTTCCGTTGCAAGTGATGGGCACCATCAATGTGCAGGAGAAGAGCGCGTCTTAGTGGATTACGACTTTGGGAATAGTTATTCTCTGCCCTATGTCGGGTGAGTAAGGAGTCTCTTGCAGATCGACGAGAGACAGCACTGAACTGGACGTGCATAGATTCTATGAGCCTCCTCGCTGCAAATTTGACACCGTTCACATCAACCTTACTGTCACCTCTAAGGGCAGGCAATATGATCGTCTTGCGATTTTTTATCTTGGTGATACTGAATTGTGGCGCACATCAACTGCGGAACCAACCAGCGATGGCATTGTTTGGACCTATCTCAAAGACATGTCACAATTCAACACCCTCTGGAAAGAGAAGCAAAAGATAATATTTGACCTAGGAAATATCATCACTGATGTCTATACTGGGCATTACAACACAACATTGACAGCCTATTTCTCCTACGAGGACAATGTAAAGACGCCAGATGCCATCTTGCCTATCTCTGCGAGAAGGTCAGTGCAGAATGCGTCCAGCGACTTTGAGCTTCCATCGGACAATGCGACTGTACTTCACCGATTCCCTCCGAATACCTCACGTGCTGTCGTTTCAATCGCCGCCACTGGTCAATCAACAGAAGAATTTTGGTGGTCGAACGTCTTTACATCCGACTCGTGGTCTTTCGATAATACCATCGGGGAGCTGTACGGATACTCTCCCTTTCGCGAGGTACAACTCTATATCGATGGCATGATGGCAGGGGTGGTTTGGCCATTTCCTATCATTTTTACTGGTGGTGTCGCGCCGGGTTTCTGGCGTCCGATTGTTGGCATTGACGCCTTCGACTTGAGGCAGCCAGAAATCGACATCACCCCGTGGTTACCCATACTGCTGGACAACAAGACCCATTCTTTCGAAATCAGGGTCACAGGTCTCAACATTTCTGAAGGCGGAGCTGTCACATTCTCTGATACTGTTGGGTCCTATTGGATCGTGACTGGAACTATCTTCTTGTACCTGGATGAATCCGCACCCCAGTTTTCTCCTGGTCGCAAGCCAATCTCAATAGCTCCGCCACCAAAATTCACAGCGACGCGCAACCTTGTGCAGAATGCAGCTGGAGGGAATGAGACATTGATTTACTCCATAACAGCGCAGAGAACCTTTACAGTCCAGTCTACCGATCATGCGTGGAGTCAGAACCTTTCCTACTCGAACTATGGAACTTTGAACCAGCAAGGTCTGAGCCAGAGTAACCTCCAGCATACTTCTGGCCGTAACCAGCTCATAGGAAGCAAAGTACTCAACGATGTCACATTTGATTATCCTTTACTTTGCAACCAGACTTACAATCTGGACGATGGGCTTACTATAAGTGCTTGGATGCGCAGAGGTCTTGACATTGAAGCTACAGAAGGCCTAGGGATCTCAACATACACTCTTACCTCAGGCCCTCTGAACTTGCACACCGAGCAAATGGGCACGGCATTCTACCAATCAACTTCAAACAATAGTGCTTCGTATGGCGAGACAAAAGACGTCTTTGAGAGCGACGCTGATGGTGTCTCCTATAGTCGGGAAGTACACGCGGTTAACGGCAGTGTGGTTTATGACACAGGGAATTAAAAATCTTTGAAGTGTCATAAATCACTGGCCCATTCTTTCCTTGTACCAAATAAGTTGATCTAAGCTATAAGGTTCTTTGTGTATAATAGATTTCACTGTTTAGATACTTCAGATGGACAGTTCTTATCGGCACGTGAGTTTGACTGATAAGACAGCTCTTCTGTCGCCTCCTAGAGAGTTCCATCAGATTAACTTATCATACTGTGGCAATTGAGATATGTATAGCAAGAAGATAGCATGGCTACGGTAAAAACAGAACTTCATTATTCAGGTAGCCTGGGGCTTGCTCTTTCCTATCTGGGTTCACCGCTGACCAAGAACTCCAGGCCTTGTCCCAGATACTCTGGTTGCTGCCTTTATGAGAACCAGCTGCAGCATTGAACATTCTGAACCACTAAATAAGCGACTCAAGCTATCTTTAGCACCTCAGAGTCTAAGAAAACTCAATGAAATTCTGAAACCAGAAATCCCGCTGGGTTATATTCCGCTAGCACGATGTTATATCGGATTGGTAGGTGATCGTCAAATCCAAATACAAGCGTGACCTAACATGGCCTCATGAGGTTGAGTTTGCTAAAAGCTTCATCAAATAGAACTTCGCTCACTTAGGAAGTGCAGAAAGATTACTGCATTCATTTGAATATGTGTCACGCCTTCCTGTTGTCGTGCAGACAGCCACTGCCCCTTTTGTTCATTCTGATACCACTGTGAATGATGACAAATCTGGCAACCTTCAGCTGAAGTTGCTAGCAGTGGCGGGACAGGAAGTAATCTTCTCAGATAGGATCACCGACCGCAAGCTCATTGATGCCATTGATGGCGGATTGATAGGAAGCTTGCCCTGCGCCGATCGATTTTTCAAGAGTGCGCCGTCTGTGTGCTACCAGGCAACCTTGCATCGGCTTCCTGATGGGAAGTCCTTCAGACTGGAAATCGCCATCCTTTGGAAGGACTCGACAGATATTATAGATGCCAGAAGTCTATCTCGTACCTCATCCAGGGTCTTTTCGAGGTATGTTCTGAGACAGAGTGACGGTTCGCTCATGAAGCACACAGCACACACGCAGGAGGCAAGCTGGTCACCACGCGATTTCTACGAGAATGTTCATGTACCACCTGATACGCCCACGGGCTCAGCTGAGATCAAATGCGCCCTGACAGAGTGTCAGCTCTACCCCTTTCAGAGACGGACCGTCAGGTGGCTCTTGCAGAGGGAGGGCGTCAAATTATGCCCCGATGGACAGGTAATCCCTACTGAGTTGGACTCTAATAGTGATCTGCCAGCTTCCTTCATTCGTATCACAGATGCGGATGGGAAGTGCTGTTATGCGAGCCATCTCCTCATGATTGTGACCACAGATATTTCTGCACAGAGGACAGTCTTACGGGGCGGTATTCTGGCTGAAGAAATGGGCCTGGGTAAGACGGTCGAAATGATCAGTCTAATGTGCCTCCACCGTCGAGAATTACTATCTGAGACCCAATGTCCAAGCCCCACTGGTGGCTTGAGACCCTCCCGTGCAACTCTGATTATAACGCCACCTGCGATTCTCGACCAGTGGAAGGAGGAGATCTTGCTACACGCTCCGAGTCTTCGTGTCTTTCACTATGAGGGTATCAACCGTCACCATGAACTACCAGAAAGTGGTTTGGTTGATATGGTGGCTGATCACGATGTCGTGCTCACGACCTATAATGTTCTTGCTCGAGAGATTCATTTTTCTGGAAATGCTCCGCAGCGAAATCTCCGGCATGAAAAAAGGTTCGAGCCACGGAAGACGCCTCTTGTTCAAATTCATTGGTGGCGAGTATGTCTGGATGAAGCCCAGATGATAGAGAGTGGCGTCAGTAATGCAGCCAAAGTTGCTCGTTTGATTCCGCGCCAGTTGGCCTGGGCTGTGACTGGGACCCCTATACGCAAGGACATCACAGACCTCCTCGGCCTTCTTCTATTTCTGCGCTATGATCCTTTTTGTGGTTCTATTTGGAATAGGTTATGCCGGTCATTTCGCCCTGTTCTGACGCGTATCACTCAAACTATTGCTCTGAGGAATAGCAAAGATCGCATCCGAGGGGAGCTCCGCATACCACCTCAGAAAAGGTTTGTCATCACAATACCTTTTAATGCAGTTGAAGAGCAACATTACAGACAGTTATATGAGGAAATGTGCGAAGAGTGTGGGCTTGATATTTCAGGCGCACCTATCCACGAACACTGGAATCCTAATGACTCGTCAGTCATTGAGAGAATGAGGAGTTGGCTGGCCAGGCTTCGCCAGACGTGTCTTCATCCCAATCGCGGTCGAGGATTTACCGCTGGCACTAACGGTCCGTTACGCTCAGTCCAAGAAGTTTTAGAGGTTATGATTGATGAAAACGACGTGAGAATACACGCCCAAGAACGTGAACGTCTCTTATTGCGAATGCGTCGTGGGCAATTGCTGGAGAATGCTATGCGAAAACGAGAAGCACTTGAGTTGTGGAGGACTTGCTTTGAGAGAGCGAGTGCAATCGTCAACGATTGTCGAGGTCGACTGCAAACAGAGATCCAGAGACTTCAAGTATCGAACTTGGGCGCTGATCAAGAAACGGCATCGAATGAGCTGGCAACCAATGACGATAGTGAAGATTCGGACAAGAGTAATCGCATAGGTGCCTACCGACAGAGGCTTCGCGCTGCTCTCGAAGTCCAGCATATGGGTGTATTCTTCATGGGCAATGCGTACTATCAGATCAAATCGGACCTCAAGCTCACTGACCCTGAGTCTGATGAATTCAAATCTCTCGAGCAACAGGAAGAGGAGGCGTATGCCACTGCCAAGTCCATCCGGAAAGAAATTTTGAAGGATGTGTCTAAGAAGGTAGGAAATCACATGAGAATAATCAGGGAGATGCTGCGCAACAAGCGATATGTGGCCATACCCGAGATGAAACCTCATATATATAACACAGGCGTAGAGGCTCGCCGTGTGCTCGAGAAATTCGAAGATTTCTGCGAGGCTATGAATAAACATGCTGCACAATACGACGAGTGGCGTCAGACCATGGTTCATCTTCTTTCCCAGTCGCTCATTGACCAGGAGGATGAATCGGAGCTTCAAGGCAACGAATACGAAAAGTCCACCAAACATCAAGATGAAATGTACGTTTATATGGAGGCACTACGCGCCATGTTCGCTGATCGCCACGACTGCCTGACTGGGCAGAGGAACGTGCTTATTGCTCATGAAGTCAAAGGCGGAGTCGCTCAGGCCCAAAAGTGCGAGGGCCCATCACCAGAGCTGTTTCTGAATATTATGAACATGCGAAGTCGTATGAAGCCCGATCCTCAATTGGGCTCTCTTCGCGGTATTATCAGTGAGCTTCGCAGCTTGACCACATCCCTTGAATGGCAGGCAACTGAGGGAAGCACTCGGGCGCGGGCCGAAATGGAAATCACCAGTTTGGTGTTGAAGAATGCCAGTGCTATGGCTGCAGAACATTCCAAGGTTATTTCAAGCCTGGAGAGAGAGGTTGAGATGTTTCGGGACACGATGAATTATCGCCTCGAGTACTATCGCCAATTACAGCAAATCTCTGACACCGTGGCTCCGTTCGACGAGGAGAGCGTTGGAAAGCCCTTAGATGAGGCCACCTTCGAGGCAAAGCTCACTCAGGAGAATCTTGTTGATGGAAGAATATCGGCTTTGCGCGCAAAGCACCGCTATTTGATCCATCTTCGAGACGAACCGAGCGTGGATGAGTCCACAAGAATATGCGTGATATGCCAGTCAGGCTTTGAGATTGGTGAGTTACGGCATCCTCTGACTAGTTGGAGCCAAGTTTTACTTACATCTATAAGGTGTTTTGACTGTATGTGGCCATCGCTATTGTCAACATTGTTTGGGCATATGGTGGCGTCAGCATCGGACTTGTCCTACATGTAAAAGAAGGTTGAAAGCGAACGATTTCCACCAGATCACATACAAGCCTCAAGAATATGTTGTGCAAGAAGAAAAGGCACCGACCAAGGCCATGTCTGAGCGACCGGCTTCCACAAACTCAATCTACCATGATATCAGCTCGAGTACGCTAAACGAGATCAAAAATATCGATTTGAATTCTTCTTTTGGCACCAAGATCGATACTTTGGCTCGTCACATACTGTGGCTCCGTGAGCACGATCCTGGGGCTAAGTCAGTGGTGTTTTCCCAGTACAAGAATTTCCTTGAAATTCTAGCATCTGCCTTGTCCCGGTTCAAGATTGGGTTCAGCAGTGTTGACAGTAAAGATGGAATACAAAATTTCAAGAGTGACCCTGCGGTGAGAGCCATACCTGAGTTGTACGCACGCTATGAATCTCACAATCCCAATGCTGACAGTCGCCTTTTTCTAGCTGGAATGCTTTCTCCTGCATGCCCGAGCCCATTCATCTGGGCTTAATCTTATTTGTGCGACAAATGTCATATTTTGTGAACCCTTGGTCAATACAGCAATCGAGCTTCAAGCCATTGCCCGCGTACATCGCATAGGCCAGCATCGACCAACAACCGTTTGGATGTATCTGGTCTCTAACACTGTTGAGGAGTCGATTTATGATCTGTCTGTGTCGCGTCGTCTAGCCCATATCATGCAAAAGGAGGAACGGCAAGAAGAGAGGCCATCAGAGTTTCCAGTAAATGGCGCCCATGGGATTGCAAGCACCACGCTGACAGAGACAGCAATTGATGCGGCAAATTCTCTTGAGATTCAGGATGCGCCTCTTTCCAAAATGATGGCGAGCGGCCCGTTGGGTGGTGAACTTGTCCAGAAAGACGATTTATGGCGATGCCTGTTCAGGAAAGCCAACAGTACCCACATGGATGCCGCAGGTGAAGTCGCGAGGTTCTTGAGAAGCGAGGCCGCTTAGCAGAGAAGTGTGGCGTTAATGAATTCGTAGCCTTGCCGGTTTGAAAGTTCTGAATTTAGTGGATGAACAAGCAATCTTCGGATTTCGGGGCCTGATGTGTGGTCGTGCCCCGATTCAGTACTGCATCTAGAGTGGAGCAATCGACAATACTATGTCGCAGATTAACAGCAATCCCCTCGAATGTGGGGCTTTCACGAGACAGGGCTTGTAGCAATTTGAAGTGCCCAACCGCCCCATGTTCGCTGGTTCTGCTGTCGATGTGTCAATATCAAGCCCTCCCATGTCACAGGCGAGCTGGTCTGTTTACACGCTTATGTGAAACGTAGTTATGCAATAGCCTCAAGACGTTGACAAGACGGACGGACCTATGAGCTACCGATCATGCATATTGATGGCATCCTTCCAAGCTGTAGTGTAGTCCTGCTTTTCGGTCCACTTCCCGGGTCAATACCGAACATTCAGTCCAGCTCCCACAACAATGACTGTTATGCGAAGTTGAGGAGGGAGGCGCTCAAGCATCGTAATTTTGCTAATGAGCACCCCCGCGTCCCCAAACCTATTGCCTCTAGGATCTAGCTTTCCCTCTCAATGCTATCGCCCCCGTCATCACCAGTGGCTGGAGCCCTGAGCTTAACAGGTTGCCAGTCTTGACAGAAGCCTCTTGGGGCTGTACAACAACTATTCACGTTAACGCACTCGGAACCGACTAGGTTACTAGATTGATGTTGATTTCGAGTCAATCGAGCCCGCTAGTTGCTTGATGTAGCACGTCCTGTGAAATCACTAGCCTCAGATACTGCTAAGGCTTCACTGGCGCCAAAATCACCACCTTTGGCTGTTACAGCAAAGCAAAGTTAGATTTCTCGGCTCAACAGGAATTGTCCAACATGCTCATGAAACAAACATAGTGAACAAACAGTTGCTATAATACAAGTTTTGAGTTTGCAGTAATGCAATCCTCCAAGTGCGCTAAAATTCTCACATAAAAAGACGCCAGGCACCCAAAATGAGTGCAGCGGTACCGGTGCAGACACCCCTAGAGCACATATGTCAGTATACCATACTTCCCGCAGCAAAGACTTGCGAGATCTTACATGAGCCATTGTAGAGTGGAGAATTTGACTGCTTCCACCCGCTCCCTTAAGCCGGCAACCTCCTGCTCGATCCGTGTTTCTGTCTCCTTGATGCGCATTTCCTGTCCATTCGCTTCTTCACGAATCCTGCCTTTCTCGAGGTTCAAATCCAGGCGCACAGACGCCTGTGTGCGTCCAATCTCGTCACGGAGGCGCGAGTTGAGCTTGGCCAGGTCTGCAGCAATCTTCTCGTGCGACGAGCGCGTCAGTTGCGCTTCGGTCGAGTCTGCATTTAGCAATTCGGAGCGGAGCTTGGCGAAGTCGACTTTTTGTGTATACGCCGATCGTTCGGTGTCTGGATGACGATAAGGTATAAGCATCCTAGTCATCTGCATAATTCTGCCATTAATCCCTACCTTCTCTTAGAACCATTGTACGGGTAAGGTTTTGGATCGACTCTTCGATGATATCATTCAAGACTCTCATCATGGCGACAGCCTGCTCCTCACTGAACCCTTCATCCTTTAACCGCTGTACGAACTTCAGAGTATCGAAATGATGATCTCGTTGCCGGACCGTGGAAGCATGGAAAGCGCGTCGAGCAGGCTTGAATGCGGCGACATAGACACCGTCATAGCGGATAGGATGGCCGAGGCTTTGTACAGCGGGAGGGCTCGTTGTGTGGCGGGCCAAGGCGAACCGCTTTGCGATCGCCGACGAAGCGCCAGTGGCCCGGGGTGTGGCGGAGTGACTGAGGGAGGAAGAAGAGAGGCCAGCTAGACTGTGTGACTGCCGTCTAGCTTGGTTCCAAGAGCGTGTCAATTGCTGCTTCTGTTGGCGCGCTGCTGGAAGAGTGGTCGGGGGTGCAATAGTCGTCCGAGCAGAAGAGCCGTTCCAAGTAAGACGGGGCAGGATGGAACGGGGTACCTCCGCAACTGTCTTTTGAGACGCCATGTTGACACGGAATTATGCGATACCGAAAGAAGTAATGGCCACACAAAAGCGCGTGGTAGAGGAGCCTGAGCCTGGGCCTGATCTAGGTCAAGAAGGATGGTGCATGATGAGGTGCCGGTTGACGATGACTAAACCCCGAAGTCGGGGACGGCGGGTCTCGCCTTTTTGCCTGCATGTGATTACCGCCATTTACACACCTTCGACGGCATTCTGCGGTCAAAGCAGGGAGACTATTCCAACACGCAAGATGCCAGAACCCCGGGATTTTCCGGCTCCTAGAAGCGTGGGCGTCTCTGCATGTTTCTTCACGAGTGGAGATATACATAGTTTACAATAGAACCGTGACTGATTCAAATTATACTTCACATAGCAACCATGTACAGTACAGTACAAACCGTCTTTTGCATTCATGCCTCTGAAGCAATTAGTATATTTTCCTCGGTACCAACCGCGAGCTCAGTTATCCCACTTTTACCCAAAACCATCTAGATCACTTTCCAGGAGAAAGCCAGACCATAGCATTTCTTCAACCCATCTATAGCTCGAACAGCTCTTTTAATAACTTCATGGTGTCATCGGGGTTTTGGACGGCATGACCGATTGTCCTAGGGTCGCTGTAGATCTCGTAGTCATTGCCTCCCTCGAAGCATTTGTCTCCAAAGAAGTGAATCGTCTTGTACTCCACGCCAGATATCTCCTTCTCAGCGGCGACATGCTTCAGGCAGTAGGTTTTGTCCCAGCCAGTAGGGAAAACATCGAAGGAGATCTGGCCGCCAATAGAGTAGCTAAGTCCAACAGTGTGATTAGCAACAAGGAAGCATAGGGTGGGTTGAGGTGCCTATCCTAGGACTCACGTGAGACCCCAATCAGGGAACTTCTTCTTGAGAGCTGCTACCAAGTCCCGACGGATGTGATGCACATCATCGTATCTATGAAGAGGCCATTAGTCAGTCAAGCTCGATTCGCATGCAGACCGCTAGACCTGAGGCGATACGCACGCTTGGAACTCATTTCTCTCGTCGAAGCTAGCGTTTCTGCCAATAGGGCTGACATTAATCATGCCGTTGCGAAACTCGACGAAGGTACCGCGCTTCTTAGGAATCTTCAGGTCCGCGATGTATTTGAGGCAGAAGTTGACCAGCTCCTGGTATCTTTCCTCTCCAATCCACTCAATGAAGCTGGTACCAGCGAGCGGCTGTCCAAGACGGAAAGCAGTCAGACCGTTCTCCGGGAAGCAAAAATCAAAGAGGGATGTGACGTTTGTTGTAGCTGAGCCGAGTTGTTCTTGCTGCTTGGCGAAGTCCGATCCACCAACCTAGGCATTATTAGATCGCTGAGGGTCAAGTTTCCATCTGAAGGACTGACATATCCGATAGCACACTTGTGGCGGAGTCGAGAGAGGAGTTCCAGCATTTCTGGCGTGGCACCCTAGTCACAGGCGATCGATCATTAGTCTCTCGGTCGCTTGAATCAAAGACAGCAAGATCAAGTGATCCAAGTGCACAACTTCTGAGATCGAGGGAGTAGCTCACCCTTCTCGGGAGGGACAGTGTGTTGTCGACATCGAAAAGACAAATGGTCCCCTGCAAAGGCCGATTCGGCAAAGATGGATATACGCCTGCGCCTTCAGCCATGGTGCCAAACACAATTAAGAGATTTGGTTTGTGAACTTGGTGTGGAAAGCGAAGAGTAGAAAGGGGAGACTTTCAACAGCCACCCGAGAGCGACAAGAGGGTGGAAATGGTCGAATTCAGGGGTGGAAGGCCGCATGCGGTGAAGTGGGGAGGTGATAGCGGGGTCTAGCTCAGGCATCAAGGCTGCACTGTGTGAAGACAGTCGAGGTCGAGACAGTCGATCCACGTGGGTCCTAATGGCTTATCGATAACCTTGATAAGTCCCCCAGTTCGATGGCCTACCTACGTACTGTAGGTTACTTTATCCGGTTTCCTTGCTCCGGCATTGGCCAGCAAGGGCAGATGGAGACAGATTGTCTCACATGTCAAATTTACAATGATTATTGGGCACTTCACGTGGTGCCTAAGCAGCATTGTGAGACAGGCTGTAGCGAATAGAATCGTAAATTTGAAGTACCAAAAAACCGTAACCAAGGACAGTATGGCTGAAGACACTATTACCCACATTGACACTGTAGGAAGAATGAATAAATTTAAGAGGGCATATGGCTGCTGCACACAGGGATGAGTATCCCACTCCGCATTGTCACATGTCAATGTTCTCAACGGCCCATTGTAGTCTGGAATACCTTGGCCGCCAATTCACTCAACAGCCGAGCACGGTCAGTTTGAGGCAACTCCAGAAAGACCTCGTAGACACTCTTTCCCTTTGCGTCACGTACCGCTCCCAGTCGATTACCCGCGACAGCTCCGGCCAACGCCCCGGGAGCATTACCAATGATAAACCCCAGTGCGCCGCCACTGATACCGCCAACAATGGACCAGAAGCGCGACGTAGGACGGGTTTGCGTGCGACCATCAGCATCGGTCGCATCACTCGCAAGACCCTCTTCGCGTAGCATCTCCTCAAAGACAGAGCCAAATTGCTCCGATGCCCGCTGCTCTCTATCAGCAGCGGAACCGAAGCCGAAAGCGGACCATGGGAAACCGCCAGCACCTCCTTGAGGTATATCATATTCTTCATCCACCCCATCTGCTAATCGTGTCGCATCGTATTCTCGCCGACGTGATGTATCCGATAATGTGTAATAAGCATCGTTGATTTCTTGGAACCTACGAGTCCGAGCTGGTCTCTCAGCCGAATCGGCAGGCACTCGGTCGGGGTGCGATTTCAGTGACTCTCTATAGATGTGTAAGTGTTGTGCTGGCTTTAGACAAATCAGTAACGTGCCGCACCTTTTGTATGCATTGCGAATTTCTTGTTGTGTTGCTTTAGGAGATACCCCAAGAACTTTATCTGTATGAATGACGAAGTCAGTCTGCTAGCAGTGTGTGTCCAAATTTGCGGTGGCCCTCTTACAAAGATCTCTCTGTCCTAAGAGAAAACGTGAGTATGCGTTCTGCTCAAATATGTGCTGAAATCTGTTAGGATGCACTCACTAGCCATACTTTGCTACAGTCAATTTGCTTAGGAGATTCAACTTAGTAGACGAATGCCACCGGCTTGTTCTGCACTATGAGCTATGTTAGTGGACTTGAGGCAAAAGTGGTTACTGAAGTGATCGAACCGACGAAAGAGTCAACCGCCCAAGACCACTGATGACGTCGACAGCCGTTAGAGTGCCTGAGCTTCTTGTGTAAGGCAGCGAGAGCTGAGCCGGCTTATCTCTCAGAGGCACTTACTAATATTACGGTAAAGACGACTGACTTACTCCTTGTACGTTTTGTCAGGTACTGTACAGTACATATTCATGATACTTACTATCTAGGTAGTACGGAGTACCGTACCAGGCACGGACGGGAATGCCCACGGCCACGGGGAGCCCAGCCCCTGACGGATTTGCCCGTCTCTTGACTCTTGAGCAGTGCAGTGTTTCTACCAGGTTTATAAACTTCTTCAATTTACACCAAAGTCATATGTACTTGTATCTTAGCAACATTCTATTGCTCCACTTGGATTGAACATGACAATATTCCTTCTCAAGGCATCCTACGCATACCTAAATCCCAGTCTTGGCTATGCTGACAAGATCAGCTCCATAATCGCGACCACGATTGCTTAGAATTTAATACTAGTAGAGTACACTCGTGCATCTGCAGCAGACTAGTCCCAATTGACTCGGCGACTGCTCTGTGCGCCTCCCGCCCTCTTGTCGATCCGATCTCAGAAAGATCTCAGAAAGAACACATTCCTGTCCTAGAGGGCACTACGTCCCTCTCGCTGATTGATTGTTCTCGTCTTTCATCCTATCTATACCTGGCAACCCATCACGCCCTCCCCCTTATCAACAACCGTCATATTTTATTACACAGTCTGCGCGATCAAAGAGCACAGTCACCTCTTCAAGGCTCCATTGGCTGCTGGCAAGTCCCCATTGCTGAGTGGAAATCATCAACAATGGGCTGGTTTGATGGAAAATCCCCGACCTCCTCGTCATCTCACAGGCATCACTCTCGTCGACGCTCCTCTCCTTCCCGACGTTCTACTTACTCGTCCTACAATGCCCGCCATTCCGCACCGTCAATTTTCAGCCTGGGCAGTGGTGTCAATCGTGCAGGACGATCCAGCCCATCGGTGTTCTCCTCCTCCTCATCACGACGCGCACGGCCCAGGGAAGGCTTTGTCGCACGGATAGTTCACATCATCCAGCGCATCTTTCGCGATGCCTGGAAATATGCACGCGAGCACCCTATCAAGGTCCTGACGCTGCTCGTGATTCCACTTCTGACAACTGGCGTCCTGCAAAGGCTATTGGGCATGATCGGTATTCGTTTGCCAAAGAACCTCCTAGGAGCATCGACGCTGCGACCTGGCGGGGCCGGCCTATCAGACAATATCAGCGGAGTGTTCAACATTGCCAAAATGTTCATATAGCTCCTAGACTCGAGCCTCTGCCTTTTCCGATACGACGCCAAACTGTTGATGGGACCTAACGTGTATACTCTACTCACCACTGCGCTTTCGCCGAATTTGCGATGAGCTTTGGACATCTAGAGACGACTAAATATGACTACGAAGATGATGACCATAAATCGATCGAAATTTGCAATCACGGGTTGTTTGCGTGTAACTTTTGACAGTTTTCTTGGTAATGACTGCAATCATACGATCGCCGTTATAATCACATACTGCTTATTCTTGTGCAATGCTCTATAAAGAGAATGCTTTTGAACCACTTACTAGGAACATGACTATAGTTGTAGATTTCCAGAACGTTGTACTCGTATACAAACAGCCGGAGTTGGATGATAAGTATACAATTCATTGGCGCATCTATTCAATGTCTGACAAGGTCGCAGCCGGATGAACAATGCAAGCAAGAATGTTGGGCTTTGATTCATTCCCTCAAATTTTGATTCAAGAAATCAAGACTTTTGTGTGCGCTTCGCCCTCCGCCTGGATGCGCCCTTGTTGGAAGTTGTAGCGGAGCTAATCACATCCTCAACTGCATCTTGCGCTGTCTCGGCCATCTCCTCGCGCTCATCTATATCGCTACCCTCGGCGTCGGATGAGCCAAGCACTCGGCCGAGGGTTTTGTGGTAGACCCAGCCGGGCATCCGGAACACCATTGTATCGCGGAAGGTTGGGCGTGGAATTTCGTCGACGTCGAGGAGGAACTCTTGGCGTTCTCCATCTTCCGTCTCGTCCTCCAGGAACACATGGCCGACCGAATCCACGATGAGAACTTTTCCATTTTCCGCGATGACACGTTTCCTTTCGCCGGTGGGCTCCATAGCCTCATTGGTAGGCGTTGCCGTCCCCGAGCTGCGACCGTTGGTTCGACCAGCACTTTTCTTGCCCTCTTTGCGGTTTTCTCTCTCCATCATGCGCTTCTGGCGTCGGTTCATTGGCACGGCACTGGGCTCAGGTTCCGGAGTTGGCGTGGTTGATTCGGCAGCGACACCGCCATTCAGTCCAGGGATACCTCGGACACCCGACTCGTCGCCCCATGCAGCTCTGCGGGCTTGACGAATGTACCGATCAACGAATTCCCGCTGACGCTTCCAGCTCAGCACGAGTGCGGCATAGTGGGCACCGCCCCCAAAGACCAGAAACAGCCCGACCAGGACGGAGCCCAAGCCTGGGCGAAAGCGTGAGTAGTAGTATCCGGTACCCTTCCACTTCGGAAAACCATTCTTCAGGAAGTGGTCATAACGCTCCCGAGAAGCTCCACGCAGAATGTTGGCAACGGTGTTCAGACGGGCCGCGCGATCGTGGGCTTCTTTGACGGCCGCGTCGATCTCACGTTTCGAGGGGCCCTTGTTAACATGGACACCTGCCTTGTTGGTCTTGGCCCGTGACTTGTCCTTAGAGCTGTTGGCGATGAAGGATCGTCTTACTTTGTCAGGGTGGAGGAGCTTTGACTTCTGACGGTAGGCTTTAGTCAACTCGTCTTGGTTGGCATTCGGTTTCACGCCCAAGACGTCTACACAAGTATTAGATTCGTCAATCAACACTGATGGCGTAGGAGACAAGGGAAAACAATGCGGAGGGCGTACCGTAGAATGTCACATTGGCGCCTTCTTTAGAGATGACTTCTTCACGAAGCTGGAAGATTTCGTGGTCTAAGGTGACGTCAATGTTAACAGGGAACAATAGGTTGAGTTGTATATATACGATTGGAGAATTTACCTTCTTTGGTCCAAGCCGCAGACAGGACAAACAGAGCAGCGAAGAATAGCAGACGGAGTGAGAAGGGCTTCATGATGGGAAACTAGGGCGGTCATTACCGCTATGCCCGGTTCAAGAATACTTGCTTGTAGGAATCCGAGCGAGATGAGATTAAGAAGATTGAAAATTTGCTTCAATGGCTTATCTGTCATCTACTCTCGCTGCTCCTGTACTGTACATGTGTATGTATGTATGTACAGTACAGTACGTGCAGTAGTACATTTATAACCTGCCATGCATCACACCGCCTAGACTGTTTCTTGTAGTAAGTCAATGTTACACAGCAAAGGAAGTGCAGGACATCTTCCACCTCCGACTCAAATGTAGGTTCGGCGTCTTCTACTCTGCTAAGAAAGAGCGTAGTCAAGTTAGCTTACTACGTATGAAGAGGTATGCACCAGGTTTTTTTCTTACCACTATAAGAGAACAATTCGCTTATATGCGCGACGTGGACCAATAAAGGTTAGAATTGAACCACTTTTGACCTGTCAGATAGAAAATAGGTAAAATCCCTGACGATGTACGATACTGTACTGCACTGTAATTCCCTTCGGACCACACGTAATGAAGCGAGCTGCAACAAGAAAAGTGTGATTGATGTGTGAGTATACCGTACTCCAGTTTACATATGTGCTGTGCATAATGGCCAGGGTTCTCCGATTTCTAGAGGCTGGGCTCTGAGGGGAAAAGAAGGAGGAAGAGGAGGAATTAAACGGCTTAAATTGAGTCTCAGTCCCTTCTTTTCCCTTCGATACCTTACTCAACTTTGGATCCTCTTTGTCTCCAAAGGTTCCCAGCTTCAGGCAACGGAACGGCTACTGTACGTTATCGGTGCCTGGACGGAAAAAGAACACGCTGCTTACCAGGGACTGAAGGCGGAGGCGAAGACCAAAAAGACGGTCAAAGTGAAAAGAGGGAAGAAAGAAAGAACAAAAGACAGGATGATTAATTGCCCTTGGCCAGCTTAGCATGTCAACAAGACATTTGCAGTGCCCCCCACTGCGCAGCCGCATCCAGCATCTCTCTTCTCTCTATTTCTATTATTAGAGCATCCACTGCCTTCTGTCTGTCTTCCAACGTTCTTCTTCAATTGTTTTCGTGCTCTTCCCTAGCAAGTTACTTCCTGACTTCACTTTGTCCTCCAATTTGGATTTCTTGGCTTCTTTTCGGCCGCTTTGGGAAGCAGTGATTGCTTTGATGGTACTGAGGTTATTGTGGTCTGTGTCTATGCTTGGCTTTCCGCACGCCGGTGGTGACCGAAAAGGACTGGGCTTGGGCGTTTGGGCCAACTAAGCCATTTCAATTCGTTCAGTTGCGGAAACTCTTTCTGTCCACTACGTACACCACGGCTTGCTCCGACTTCTCGCCATTTCCCCCTTTTTCTCTCTCTTGATCGTCTGTCTACCTCATTGCATTCGTATTGACCAAAGCAATTCATCTTTCATCCTTATTGCCCACATCATCTTTGTGCTGCCTCTATTCTTCTACCCAACCTCGGTTTGTGTTTACTACTCCTTCCTTTTCACATCGTCTCCGCCATCCACTGGACTTTACAACATGAGTCCCCTCCAGTTTCCTATTGATGCGATCACCTCGCGATTCGGTGACCGCTTTAACAGTGTTCGCTCCCAATCCTTCAGCACGCGCTTTGCCAATCTCCGTCCTGTTTCCGAATTCCTGGATGTCAAGCGTATCTCAAAGCCCGCCAACTTCGGCGAGGTTCAGAGCCGAGTGAACTACAACTTGTCTTATTTCTCGAGCAATTATGCTGCCGTCTTTGTGATGCTCAGCATTTACAGCTTGCTGACCAACCCGGTCCTGCTCTTTGTTATCATCTTCGTGACAGGTGGTCTTTACGGAATCGGCAAGCTCCAGGGCCGAGACCTCGATTTGGGCGTTGCCCGCTTCAACACCTCCCAGCTGTACACTGGGCTACTGCTTGTCGCGGTTCCCCTAGGATTCTGGGCCTCACCCATTGCTACGGTGCTCTGGTTGATCGGAGCCACCGGCGTGGCCGTCTTTGGCCATGCCGCTTTCATGGATAAACCAATCGAGAATGCTTTTTCCGAGGAGGCGGTCTAGGTGGTCGGCCGCGAACTCCTTACGGTATGCCCCGATGGGGAAGACCACCGCGGGCACGAGTGGGGAGACAAACCAGGAGACGTGCGGCTCCGTGGGTGGATGGGAGCTTAAGGGTTGAGGAGCTTGACAGCGAGGAGGACGATATATACAGTCGCCAAGATATGCGCATATCGCAGGCAAGGCAGGCAGCGAATCGGGAGATCGCTGGAGGATCGATGCGACGGAGGCGAATGGTAGAGTATGACGCGGTCTACGAAGACGAAATGGCATCTGTCGATGAGATGGACTACGACCTACAGGATAGCATGGACAGCACGGTGGCTTATGCAGTGCAGTTAGCCATGAAGGACAAGGAGGAGCGACTAGTAGATCAGGCTCTCGACCGGATACGACGCGCGCAGGTGCAGGGCCAGAAGAACGTGCGTTTATCGAAACGGGAGCTAGAGGCGATCGAACGCATGCGGACCGGATCGAGAAGCGGAACCGAGCAAGAACCCCGTGCCAGCGCTTTGGAAGGGACGTCCTTTGACAATCGATACTTGAATCCTCCTGAAAGTTCCAGCCACCGAGCTACAGGGGAAGCACCTCGTGGTGGTCCCTATGTGTCATCCTCCCCCAGAAAGCACAGCGTGCCGTCTTCCCTTGCAGAAAACAACAGTGCCTATGCCTTTTGGGCGCGTACTTCGGCTGCTTCTCTCGACCCCGAAGCCTCACCCCGATCGCCATCTTCTCGCCCAGAGTCCAGTCATACGCCCCCTCGATCTCCACTTCAGCCAGCTTACTCACTGGAGCGTTTACCATCAGTACCTCTTGTTCACAATCCTGGATCTATGCGGAGACCGGCCTTCACGCGCCCTCTTCACGACGAGACCCAATGGAGACCCTCCCATCGGCCCCCTCATCCTATAGATTCCCCGCCGTACCCGCTAGAACCTCGACGCGATTCGGTCGCCCATTCAGGAAAGACATCGATAACTGGCTATCGGAACATTTTTGACGATCGTCTTAATAGCGCACGGAGTGCGACTATGGGGCAAGGGCGGCCGGGGAGGGTGACGGAGAAATACCCCCGAGAGGATGGAGGAAATCGAAGCAGTGGATTGGAGGACAGTACTGATGAAGTGCATATGATAGACGTGTTGGAGCGGAGAGTGCCGCTTGGCATGCCAACGCGGGTGCCAGTTGGGCGCGGAAGTTATCATCGCGGCAGTCGTCCTTGAAGTCCCGTACGCTTGTGCCTGTAACCTATGAAGCGCGTCCTGTAGATTTGTTTAGATTAGAGTGTCCTTTAGCTATTCGACTCAATCAATTGTCATTGTCACCGTGCGATGCGAAGATCCTAGCAGGGGCGTAGATACGGGGGGAGGTAACTTATCTGGCGAGATGGATCGAACAAGGAAGAGAATATGGAATAGGAATAAATATATATATATATATATGTATTATCTGTGCGTAAGTATAGTAATTGAGCCAGCTGCCTTGAGATGTAGTCAGGGATCGCAAGAAAGGAAAGGAAAAGAGATAGAGAAAAGAAACAGAAAAAGAAGAAAAGACTTGCTAAGCTTGAGCTAAGCTTGAACATGGGAAGATTTGGCAGAGGGGGAAAAGGAAACTTGCGACGATGACGTCGACGAAGCCTGCGGGGAGTGATGATGAAGACGACGACGACGATGATGATGTTAATGCTGGGATGTTACTAGCCGACTAAGTAACCTAAAAGGTACGAGTAATGCTCGGTGGGTCTCTCTTCCTCCTCGTCGTCGTCATGGATCTCTTTCCTGCCTGAGCAATTAATTATTGATAATCACCTCCTGTCCCTACCCTCCTCCCTTCCTCCCCTCCCCTCCTCTCCTCTTCTCCCTCAATCTTCATCATCTTCTCATGTTTGCTCGTTCCACAATTACCTCCCCTAATTTAACTCATCACTCAGCGCCCAGTCCTGAGGTTCAAGCTTGGTACTGCATCGGCAGGCTTAAGCCACTTCCGCCCCTTCCGTGCCAGCCGATTGCTTGAACGCTTGAACGCTTGAACCCTCCGAAGGTGTACGTACTGTACTAATTTCCAGTACTTGTACTACACCATCATTAAACCGGTCGCAAGCTGTTGTTCCTCGTAGAAAACGAACCACCGTTTCGTACAAGGCTTCATACTGCGCATCGATCGCGGCGCAAGTCTTTGGTACATACCTGACCATGTGGATCATCTCATTTTGGGTCTTTCCGGTCATTTCAGCATGCACCTGGGTTGGTACGCAGCTCATAATTTTCTCACCACAACTTCCCAGGCACGATTGCTAACCAATTGATTGCTCAATCCAGCCATGCTAATTGCCATGTTGGCAACATGGGCTCGAGAAGGGAGCCCTATATACGCCAGTATGGAAACCGGTCAAACAATCGCGTGAGTCTATACCCTGTGTCCGTCGTCAAGACAAGCCACGCGAGCATCGATCTCCAGTTCCCAGCCCCAAGTCCACCAACTAACGTCCCTCTCTCTGGCCATCTTCTAGCTATATCTCCGACATTGGGGCTCAGGGTCTCAAGCCCCTTTTCATTGCAGGGAGCTGCGTGACTGTCGCCTTTCTCGACCTCTCCTTTCTCTCCGAACGATGGCTTCGTCACGCAGGGCAGCTGGTACCCAATAAGGGTCTGTTCGATAAAAGCTGTGCGATTGCCTCCATCTGCTTCTCGATCGCCGGTGCGTTGGGTTTGATTCTGCTATCAATTTTTGATACGTTGCGGCATCCGCATATGCATGATGGATTTCTGGTGATGTTCTTGTGAGTATTATTCAACGGACCAAGCAGAGCGAAGCGAATGGCACTGTTGGAACACGGGCCCGTGAAAGAAGCGCGTGTAATGGAAAAGAAGCTAGGAAAGTTGCTAACGCATTTCGTCTTACCATTTGCCAGGGTGGGCTACCTCATCAGCGCAATCCTCATCTGCTGCGAGTACTGGCGGCTAGGGATTTTCTACCGCTCGCAGCATCGTGTCCTCCTGGCCAGTTTCATCATCAAGCTCTCCTTCGTCGTCATCGAGATTGCGCTGGCCATTGCGTTCGGCGTCCTGGGAAATAAGGGCGGGCATTATCGCAATGCCGCTGCGGTCTTGGAATGGGGTAGGTCATGTGGCCATGATCGTGCTGAACATTGAACGGGATAGCTGACAGATGGTACCTGAATTGCAGTGATCGCTTTAATTTTTACGTTCTATGTCCTGTCCTTTGTGGTTGACTTGTTGCCCTCGGTCCGCACCCGAAAGCACGTGCCGCAGGGCGAGAAGCGCATCGAGATGAGCCGGAACGGACACGCCCATGTCAGCAACAGCAGCGACCAAGGGACTGAAGAGGTGCCTGTCACCACCGACTCGGCCGGTCCCAATGCCAACTACTATCGCGGTCAACGGATTTAATCGCTCGATTTGTTCTACCTTGGAGAGTTCGATGACCTTCAGTGCACATATATATACATACACACATGTGAGATGAGACCATAATATCATGATACCCTGCGAATTCGGTTTGGATGGAATTCCTTTTTCATACTTCTTGACCCCAATTATTCTCTGTTTTCTCGTGTTTTCTCGTGTTTTCTCGTGTTTTCTCGTGTATGGTGTGATCATCTTGGATGTCATTTCTGCCTAATCTTTGCATCTAGAACACATAATGGACTTACCAGTTCTTATATAATATCAAGATTATCATTGCCATCAGATGCCATGTTTTGATTGTTGCATTGAGGTGCTTCACAATTGCGGTTTTGTAGAGAGTCGTCTATATTCCAACCTATGGGGTATTCTCTCTAACCTAGGATGTATCACGCGAGTAGATTTTTCCTGACTCGTTCCAGGGCTAGTTGGTCCACCCCCGACCGCTTCAGATATCCTTCCACGCCCCCATACTTCGTATCGAGATGCGCACAGATCTGTGCAGTAAACCCATCGGGACATTTGGTATAATCCTCTGACAGCCCTAGCATCCGGACCTCTTTCAACCGCTCCTCCACCTCGACGACTAACTCTCCCTCGGAGAGAATATAGTCGGCCCGGATGGCCTCTTGGGTTACAGCGCCCGTCAGGAGCAGGAGCAGAAGGATGATCAACCCCGTGCGATCCTTACCCTGCGTACAGTGGACGATAACAGGGTAGGGGGAGGTGGCCGACGAAGAATCCGTGCTACTGTCTGTCGTGCTAGGTTCCGAGCTAGCCTGCGTCTCACTACCGGCAAGCAACTCGAAAATCTCCCTCATCTCGCTGAAGCTACTATCGAGAGTATCGATGCCGAGCCCGATGAGGCCGCGCGGAGACATGACCTGCTGACCCACAATAATGACCGCGTCGGTCCGGTAGCCGGATGCTGCAAGCGCGATGACTTTTCTTGGGTTTGGTAAGACTGGTTAGTCTTCACTCCGCCTGGTTTGCTGCTGCTTTTGAGTCCCCCCCCCCCCCCCCGGGTCCCCCCTTTTTCTTTATGTATGACAAGCTGTTTGGGTTGTTGGAGAGTGGGCAGAACTCGTTGTGAAGTTTCTTGACTTGAAAGAGAACGAAGGGGGACCGAGACCAAGGAAGAGAGGAGGGAAGAGACGACGAGACAACGGGGGAGGAAGAATTACAGGAAGTTCCACCAATCAAGGCGCCAAAGTAGAGTTCGTTCAAACGCTCTGCCGGTGAGACTGACCATCTTACGTTGGACACGTGGGAGGTCAACGAGGTGGATGCCATCTGGGCTGGAGGAGGAGGCCGTGGGAGGGGGGGACGGGGTAGATGAGGCAGTTGCAGTGGTGGGGCTGTTGGCATCGTCGCGAGACTGACTTTTATTGCAGGAAGCACGGGCGGTCTCCAAGTCAGACAGGCGTTTCGTGGCGGCCATGTGGTGTTCGGTGCTAGGGTCCAAGGGTTTAGTTCCTGGTCACCGTGGGTCTGCCTTTCGGGGGGGAGGTTAAGTTACGCGACAGCGTGTGCTGTACACCCACCTGGATCGAAGGTCAATGATGGTGGAGATGTGGTACTCTTCAGTCAGACGACGCTTGTCACGCTCGGAGGCTTCGTCTAGCTAGATTACATAGAGAAGAGGGGGGTCTTAGTTTCCACTGAGGTGGTTTGAAGTGGTTCTCCTTGGATCGAGTAGCTGGGTCATACAGTACTCCGAAGTGAAATCTGCAAGGATAGAAAGGGATAGAGAGGTACCGTACCCTGGCACTTCGGAAGAGAACACCTTCTTTAATTACCCTGTGCAGCAGTTGTTAGCGATGCGTACGACCATCGTTGTGCTGTACAGTACATACCGTCGGCCAAGCAACTGGTTGACGGTCCGGCCAACATCCCGAAAGTTGATGATATTGTCAAATGGTCGATCAGCCGAGTCGAGGTCAATACTCGACTGGCGGAGGTGGGCTATGACCATCGCTTAGACGAGAAGAGGGAGGTATAAGTCGGAGGCTTTTCTAAACCATATATTATTATGCAACCATGCCGAGTATGGGGGATGCGGAAATGGGGAAGGATGAAGGACAAGACAGATGGGAGAGGGTCTGAGTGGATTGGAAGAATGTTGAAACCGGCGAGTTGCCGCACTTGATGGATTGTTTTCTTTGGGTTTAGTCTGAGCCTCAAGCTCTTCTTTCGCACGATCCCTACATACACATACGAATTTGACACATATCGATTTTATAGCCCTCCAGATCCATCTGATCTGACAGTAGATTGATTGTACCCAGGAATCTTTGTACCCTTTTAGAAATTAAAGCAAAAACTGCGTTATAAAAACCTAATGACAAGACACGAATACAAAAATAAAAACAGAACGAACATAAAGCAAATAAGATAAGAGTAAAATAGATTATATTAGTAACCATGAACCGTGAACCATGAAACCATGAAACCATGAAACACGAATAGTGACAGAACCAACCAATAGAGGCTGACCACAAGATAAGGTATGGGAACCAGACATAACATCCACAGGGCGGCAGACACCCGGCTTCATTCTACAATTTCTCCGAGAATCGCGACTCTCGGCCCGTGCCATCACTGGCTCGTTTCCCAGCCGAAGAGGGTAGAACCTGGCCATGTTCAGGCACACTTGCCCGTCGGTCTGCTCCCTCTACAGTATGCTTTGGAATTGCCTCCGAGCTTCTTCGGGCGACGTCATGCTTGACGGCCCCACCAGTCTTCGCCTCGGTTGAGCTTCTCGAGACCATCTTCTTGAAGCCAGACATCAATCGATTACGATTGGTCTCATCAGGCGGCAAGTCTTTGGCATTAGAAGCTTGTTGAACCGCATCCTCCTTGATACGACTAGGTTGCTCTGCACTGCCATCATCAATGGATATTGCCGTCATGGGATGGGGTTGGAGCGCCGCTTTTCGTGGTTCCTCGTCCAAGTCCCCTGCTTTGGGTGCTTCAGCCGTGGCAGGAAGCTCGGGCATCTCAGGAGAAATACCCTCTGGATGAGCGATGTCCCATGCTCTTCCTTGGCCGCCTTCAGTAGTTTGCGGTGGCTCGGATGTGCTCGAAGCCTTGATTTCTTTGGCCTCGCTTGCGCCCGATGGCTCAGCTACTTCTTCGAGTCCTGTTTCTCCTGCGACATCTGCTGTTTGTGGCACGCCAGGCTCTACTTTGGCTTCCTTCGACTCTCTGGAGCCTTCAGCCTGGTTGGAGCTTGCGCGACGTCCCATTCGACCTTTGAACCACGACCTGAACTTAGATTCTGGTTTGGTAACAGGCTCGCTAGAAGTGGGCTCGGCTACTGCACCAGCAGCAGTCGCACTGGTATCATCATTGGCGGTCGTTTGTGGTACAGATTCGGCGGATGCTTCCTCGACCACTCCTCCTGAAGCGCTAGCAGCCGTATCTTGCTCATGGTCGGAGAAGCGCTTCGATTTCCTTTTCCATAGCCAGGTCTTTTCATCTTTAGACTTGCTCTCAAGTCTCAACGAGTCTAAGCCGGGTTAGAGGCTCTGTAGCAGCGCGATCCTCCTTTCAGACAGACACTTACCTCGTAAACGTTTCTCCTCTGCTTTGGTCTCTGCCTCGCGTTCGCGATACATGGCTTCTCGACGCTGAGCTTCTTCCTGGTCCAGTCTTTGCTCCAGCTCTCTTGCGCGTTGATGCTCAGCTCGGTCAGTGATTTCGTCGAATGTGGGTTGCAGTCGAGATCGAGCCAGCGCCTCCACATCGGACATGTCCACAAAGCGCTTGGAACTAATATTCACTCGGTCAACCCCTTGGTATTGCGAGTCTGCTTCTTGCCTCTCCTGCCTTTCTAGCATGGCACGTGCTAATGCAGCCTCTTCGATCTCCTTCTGCATGGACGGGGGTGCGCGACCTGTTTCCGCATAGACCCTCATCTCCATGTTTTGGATGGTGGCATCGACGTTCTTCTTTGCCGCCTCCATCAAGAGTGCGCGGTCCTGTTCCCTTCTCTCGTCTACGGCATTAAGCTTTGATCGAAGACTGGACATTTGGTGCCTAATCTCTAATGTTCGATCGGCATCCCCACTGGAGACATCCGTGTCAATTGAGGTTCTGCGCCTGCGGGCTTGCAAGCTGGACCGGGTGGGCTGAGGCTCAAGACCATAATACTCCCGGTAGATGGCTGTCTCATCCTGCATGCTGGCCAGCTTTTCGGCCGCGCGTTTTTCGGCGGCATCTTGCAGGCTGAAGGCTTGTTGGAGGACCATGGGCTCCGCGCCAGTAGGTGAACGCTGCGATCCCGTTCGAGCATGGCCTACGTGGCCTTGCTCCTTGGCCTCTACCGCGGCATACATCTCCCGGGCCATGGACAGAGCAGCAGCTTGCATAACACTTCTCCGCTTGTGTTCCTCCCGCTCTGGAGACACTGGCGGGGAAGCGGTGTAGAGACGCGCATTGGTGTTAGCGATATGTTGGATCCGGCTTGCCTCCATGGAACTGTCAAGATCTCCGAGGGCCTCATCGGTGCTCATTCCTGCGTGAGGGAGATCCAAAGGCACCGAGTCGGCTCGCCTCCGGCTGCCGCTCAACGCACCGGTGGCGGCACGAAGCGCCTTCTCTCGATCATCTAAAGAACGCCCAGCGGTTGCATGTACTGCGACCAAGTCTTGCTTCGGATCAGAGGAAGTCGGGGAGCGCGTCGAGGGTGAACGACGGTTCCCGAAGACATAGGCGGCTGCCTTATAGCCTTCCCGGCTAGGCGAATCCGAGGTTCGCTGATGCTCAACGACCGGAATCGCGGCAGCTTCCTTTCTGGCATGGGCGAGGGCGGCGACAGCTGACGCATGGCTAAAGCCAGGGCGAGAACCGGTCGCCTTCAAGGCTAAGGTAGTGAGGTGGATGTGTTAGTGAGGAAGATGCGACCAGTTTGCAAGATCAGAGTGGTTACTCACTCAAGCGTTCTGTTTCAGCGGTGGAAGGCTCACGCACCGATAGTCTGCGCTCCGGATGGGTCACATACAGGGCAGCCGTGGCAGCTAAAAAGAGATTAGTTGTTTCATTACCACAATATCTCTGGCTATTATCATTACGAAATGCTGGGGCATAAAATCTGATGCAAGAGGAGCATTAAGCAAGGCGATCGGGGGCGCCGATCTTACCTTGACCCGCCAGACGCACGGAGCGGGAACGCGGTAGCGTAGTGGTAGTGGTAGACGTCGGTCGTTCAACAGTGGCCATGATAAGATAACGACTGTCGTAGGGAAGCCGAACACGACATTACTTGACGAGAAGTATCACCAGGGAAAGAGGAGGAGAAAGAGAGATGGAAGAGATGGAGAGAGGGAGAGAGGGAGAGAGTTTTGAGGGGAAGAGAATAGAGTTTCAAACGAAAAAAAAAGAACTCGTAAGAGAAGAAGGAAGCTCTTTCGGAAGGAGGGGGAAGAACATCATTGGTAATGACGATGATCATGGAGGATCGACTGTAACGCAGCATCAATCAGTCTTCCGAAAGTATGGAACGCACTGAGTATACGCCGGGCCCATCCGTGGATATGGAGAAGAGAAAGTGACATCAGCTTCCCGGAGCTGATGTCATCATGAAGAGTGTTACACACCTGGAGCTACAGCTAAGTTAAGTTACAGCTAACTACCTACAGCTTACAGCTACACTCACTGCACATCCTGTGTCCATTTGCATGTACTCTATGTCCGGTGGTTACTGAGTACCACTGAATACCAAAGTTCCCTTCCTCCTGCAGCTCCTTCAGCCTTACCAGTTAGTTTCTGAACTTGACTTTAACTGGGTGTTCTCTCAAGTACGTATGTGGAGTTCACCTGCTGCCTGGCTTGTAAAGCAAGAAAGGGCGCGAGATAAATATAAAAAAAAGAAGAAGAAGAAGAAGAAGAAAAGAGAAAAGAAAAGGAAAAAGGGGAGGTAGCATATTTTATTCATTTTCTATCTTTTTTTCCCTGTTCTTCCGATCAATCTGATTTTCACTCCTATTCCCTTCTCCCTGCTCAGCCTCGGGATGGGGCTATAGCGGGATTAATTTAGACAAGTCAAGGTCATCCCAGCCCGCAATGGCATGGCATCATGCTCTTTTCAAGCCCTGTTCTTCTTTCTACCCTTCAGATATTGTTATTATGAATGATAAGGCCACTTCTTTCTTTTGTTGCTAGACTATCCCCATCTAGCTAGACTAAGCATTCTTATAAGTTTTCTCGTATCCACCCCCTCTCACTCATTAGGATTGTCAATTAATCTTTTATCCTCTCTCTTCTCTCTCTCTCTCTCCCCGCACACTCACATTCTCACACTCTTACACCCAGAGCAGTCATTCGCTAAGCCCCTCCTCCCTCTTTCTGCCTTCAGCTGCTCCCTCGGCCTCTTCCTCTTCCTCTTCCTCTTCCTCCTCTTCCTATATTTACTAGTAGTAGTGATAACCGAAGACCAAAGAAAAAATATCCCGGGCTTTACTGCTACCAGTTCTCTCTCCCCCTCCCATCTTTTCCTCTCCCATCTCTCCCTCTCCCATCTCTCCTTCCCCTTCACACCAGCGACCCTCCCCATCATGTTCTGGTTTCTCTCTCACCGCCGTCGACAACAACATCAACAACAGGCCTTGCTCCCGTTGTTCTCCCTCCTCTCCTCGGCTTCCTCTTCCTCTTCTTCCGCTTCGAGCTCAAGCCTCCAAATACGTAGAGTATTAAAAGCCCCCGGCCGGCCCATTGCGATTCGTGCGGATCAAATCACCGATACTAAGACCACTCTCGTCGTGCGCCCCCAAGGCGATGCCCAATCTGCCGTGGCGTACAAGATCGAAGACCTCGATGGAGTTACCCTCTTCACCGCCACCGGCCGCAAGTTCTCGCACCGTCCTTGCCGCGAATTCCGCGATGCCTCGGGCCTTCCGCTGTTTGAGCTGCACCGACGCCTCTCTTTCCGCAACAATTGGTCCGTCACGCTCCCGGGCTCGTCCATCAAGGATAAAACCTACTCGCCACTGGCTACGGGTTCGCGGCGTCGCGCAACTCGCCGATCGGCCGCTTCTTTTGGCTCGACCACGCGCGGGGGAAACTTCACCATCACCTTTGATAACGTCGCCGCCGTGGACGGCAAGCAGCCGGAGGAACGGGTACTGACCCTAGAGGTGCAGCGGCATGGGAATGTCCTCGCGCTGTTCGACATCGTCGATGGGGATCGTAAGATCGCGGAAGTGAGGGAAAGTATCCGCCATAACGAAAAGCTGGCCTTGATGCCGGCCTCGCGCGTGGGCTACAGGCCTGTGTTGGATGTCATTGTGACACCCGGGGTGGATTTGGCTCTGGTACGTTAGGTTGCTCCCACCTGGTTGAGCACGCGCAGAATAAACTAACGGTGATTTGGTGCCCACAGGTTGCGACCATCGCGGTCATTGCGTCAGACACGGTTTTTGCATCGAATTATTGATTTTTGTTTCGGCCAAGGCGCATGGAAGGAGCACATGATTTTGGATGCCCATGACAATCATGATTTTCACGACCGACTTATTGTATTTGCAATCTTGAATTCTGTTTATGGACGGGCGTTATGATTGACTGCACATTGAGCAATGACATGCTTTCTTTCTGTCTGGCGCTGGCGCTGTCTTCGGAGTGTCAGGTTTGTCCTGCTGGTCTAACTGTTGAAGGCAATTTGTCTCCTAATGTGTTATTATTACTTGAGAATGACAAGACCTGTACCGTGTCCGTCCTCGGGAAAGCTGCACCGTTTCATGAATTACCACAGATGCAAGATCTTCAGTATATCGTTTCGGTGAAAGAAAGAGCGGTTCCACTTGCCAAACACATCTACCTTCCGGTCAGCAGAGTAGCTCAGTCTCAACATCATCGGCAGCAGATAAGGCAACCTACACATGGGAACACTGAGAGCACAAATAGCCATTTGAATGCTGCCGATCGCCAAGAACGATGACCGGATCCCGTTTGTCAATAGCCAATTGTAGGCAAAAAAGGTCAGCACAAAACTGAACGAGTTCTTGAACACCAACATGCAGGTGAACGATTCAATGGCAATGTTTCCTGTTATCATTCGTCACGAGTTGGTTCAGACCACCGGTACATAGTTTGACTCACGATGTGCATCCACAACATATAGAGCGCTGGACACAGCGCCCATCACCATCCCGATGACGACTAACGCGAAAAAAGCGTCCGCTACGAGCCAGCCGTACTTTGCGATATTTTCAGCTACGAGGCCAAAGCCAAACAGCCCGGCTCCGCTGAATATCAGCTGAAAGATGACCAGGAGGATCCGGAACTCGGGTTCGTATCGTCCTCGGTTGAGTTTGATCATAGCCTGGTTCATCCAATCGGACAGTAGACCCGAGATCACTAGACCTAGAATGGATCCAATGAATGCACCAGTGTAGAGATAACCCGTTTGTACCTCGTTAAACCATAGTGGAGGCCCAAGGAAGATGGCCGCCAGGACCACGCCAATGAAGACAGTCCATCCGATGATGACGCCCTGGATCAGGCATGCCTATAGAATCTTGGACGTCAGGAAGCTGCCGCAATAGTCTCCTTTCTTGCAGGTGACGACTTACCCAGAGAATGGCTGGGTGTAAAAAGAGGGGAAATGGGCGTAGAAGAAGCTTGCAAAAGCTTTCGTCGGTTTTCCGGCTGTTGAAGGGTTTGAGAGTCTGCAGATAGGGAGCCTTGACGGGGGGCTCAATCCCAGCCGAAACATTTTGAGGCATTTCTTTGGACGGAGAGCCTGGTGTATGTCTTCCTGTGGGGGACTGTGTATGTTGCACTGGTCCGCCTTCCTCGCGACGGACTCGGAAAGCGTCATCGCCGGCCAAATCGAGTTGTGGTAGCGGGCTCGTAACAGTCTCCGAGCGGCGACCATGTACATAGACTGTTTCCATACTCAACTCGCTCGGGCGCCGAAATGCAGTCTCAGGTACACAAAAAAAGGTAAGAGGAAGTGCTGCCGCCGTGAAAATCGACACCAGATAGAATGTCCACTCCCAACCCAGACTATGGGTGATTTTACCAGCTAGGACAGGTGTGAGGAAAGCAGCCCCGAATAAGGCAACGTTGGACAGTGCCATTCTCTTGCCCCGTTCCTAAGATCTCATCTTATGAGCGCCAGACTAGACATCTAACAGCCATCCTAACAATGGGAAGCGACTTACATGAACGTAGAATAGGTCCCCGACACAGGCATTGACCAAAGCTTCGAAGGGCGCCAGCGCAACACCTTGAAAGATCCGCGCCCAGAGAAGGCTCTGGTAGCTATGCTTACTGGCCCCTGCCCAGGCACAGCTCGCCACCATTAGAACATTTCCCAGAAAAAACAGATGACGCTTGCCCCAGACGCGTGCGGTAGGCACGATCAGGATTCCTGCAACTCCCACACCGCAAAGATGGTATCCTGTAAGAAGGGCGACAGATGTAAAATTCTTCTCAAAGTGGAGGGCAATGGTTACAGTATTGGCCGCCATTAGTGAACTTGTTGTTGCGCAGAGGACGGAGACAAAGCAGAGAGCGAACAGAATGCAGTCGCGCCTCCAAAGTGGCCAATTCTATGCCATGTAGTATTAGTTGATGCCACCTCAATTTTGACTTTTTTTTTTCCTTTCTGCTCACACGCACCAAAGGATCATTGGAATCATCGCTGGGTTGTGGAACAAGAAGTATTGGTATCGAAGATGTGCGGTCATACTTCAGTCCAGGATCAGGAAATCGATCATCATAGGAGCACTGCGTTTGAAGGATGTCTGATGTCCCTGCTCAAAGTCCTTCAGGCTCAGCTATGTCAATAATGTAACAAGCACAGTTTCCTACCTGGCACATCTACATCCTTTGTATCTAACACTCCTAGTCCCATTGTGACTGGAAATGGTTGACCTGTTCAATGGGCTGAAGCCAGATGAATACTTTCAGAGAGAAGTATGCAGAGACCAGTAGCCTAAAATATTGCTGTCGACTCTCTCGAGGTGGGACAGGGACAAGTACGTGTAAGGCTCCAGGTGTGGTAAGGTTATCTCCGTAGGCTGTTACTCATTGTCTTGTCTCTGTGAAAGACGACCGAGGCATGAGGAAAAGGTTCAATCTTGAACACCACGAGCCCTGCAAGGGCTTTCACTGGGTAAAAGGTCAGCAGAGGCTTGGTTCAGTGGTTTGTACAACTGTAGGAAATTGGTTCAGGCGAAGAACAGAAAGAGGGCCAGTGACAGTTCCACAATTGGTGGTATTGCTGTTTGCTGGTGACAAAAATACCATTGCAGTCACAAACATTCGTCTACCGCAGCTGTGGCCTGGTGTCAAACATAGGAAGTTTAATCTTTGGCTAACTTCACATGCATCTGTTCTGATCTCATGGAACGTGGTATCATATAAATTAATGTACAGTACAGTACAGTACACTATTTACAGTCCCCTCCACATATTTGAGTTGCTTGTGGAAATTATCTATATTTACTGGTTCCTCTTGGGAAACCTCCTGCGCTCCTTGAACACCTTGCTTTCCAGTGTATACACTGTACTCGTGTATGAGTGACTTGGCTGTGGGACAACACGAGAGACGCGGAGGTGTGGGGGAAATTTTAAGATTGGAGCTCTAAAGTTTAGCGCGGGCTGAGTGGAACCAGGCACAACACTTTGTCCGACCCCGGCGATTGGTCCGTACTACCTCTCCTATGCACTGTACTCTACTGCAAGTCCATACCGGCAGTACTTACAGTATATGGTATTCCATGTAGGAGCAGGTAGTCAAAAAGCTCCGTAGGTAAGGTAGTGGTGGTGGTGGTGGTGGTAGTAGTATATGTAGTACTAGTATTAAGCGTGGTAGTTAATGGCCATCCATGTATACCAGAGCAACCCCCATTGATACGGAGGTCAAACAGTCATTCCACCCTTCTCTCTCTCCGGCCCTGAGCTTTGCTTCAATGAGTTTCTTGTAATAGCTCTGGTACGTATGTTTTGGGCACGGGAAATCCCCGCCCGTCAACTAAGATACAAGAATCACGGAACTGCTTGTAGATGTTCATCTTGGAATATGACAAAGTCTCTGCCATAGTGAGCTTCTTGCTTGCCACTTGGGCTGTATAGAAAAATAAACCTCTTCAGATGTGAAATTCGAAGGCTATCTGTCAAGTTCCCCTGTCTTGAGATTGGTGGTCACTCATTTGTAGTGTTGCAAAATCTAGTCATTCACAGGTTTCAGAACTAAGGAGTATCAGTGCCCGCGGCCCTACGTAGCTTTTCTTTCTTCGCTTCTTCTGGTGTTACTGGAATTCTGGGTCCTTCTTCATCCCCTCTCTTCCCCTCCATCAATCCTTTATCTCTTCGGCCTGCCACCTTCTCCTGATCTCCAATCTGGAAGTTAATCCCAGCGTCATCAGCATTACACGCCCGTAACCCACAAATGAAGTTCTACTACGCAGCTATCACATTCCTCGCCGGCCTGATCTCGGTCGTGGCCCAAGGCATGGACAGTCTCCCAGCATGCGCTGTAAGTGCAAGACCCTTCAGGGCCGTTGTGGTATCCATTTCCATGTTAATCACTGTCTAACCGTCCATCAACGTTACGTATTGAATTCAGAGAGAATGTGCTACTGGCGCTATCCCCAAGACCTGCCAGCCTATTGATGTTGGCTGTATCTGCGGCACCAAATCTTTCATCAGCGACATGTCCTGCTGCGTTGCCAAATCCTGCTCGCCTCAGGACGAGAAAGGTACACTGCACTTTCCCCAAATCTGATACGTTGAAGTCACACATCCTCGGAACATCCCACCGCATGATAAATCACGCGCTAACGAACCTGGATATTCTCCCAGCCGCTCTCGGTTTTGCACTACAGCTTTGCAGTGGTGCTGGTGTGACTGATCTGCCTAGCAGTGCGAGCTGTGCCAACTCGGCAACTTCGACCAATGCCACCAGCGCCTCTACCACCACTTCTCCCGTCAACTCCTCCGGCAACAGCACTGCTTCCGCAACGACCACCCTCACAGGCACGAAGACTCAGTCTGCATCGGGAGACACCCAGCCAGCGACCCCCATCAAGACAAACACTGCAAGCAGCCCCACTGCCACGGGTGGCGGTGTCCCGCTCTTGCCGGATGCTGATGCCAGTATCTTTGCGGTCGTCGGCATGGCTCTCGTTGCAGTTCTTGCCTAGGGACAATGTACGTACAGTGACGAAACACTTCCGGATGAAGGCTTGGTGGGATACCTCTGTCATGCTCCCCCCATCGCCACCTTCTCAATGTGATATCTGCTTCAAGTCCTGGTCTCAGACTGGACTTTCAAGGCTCTGAGAAAGGAATCTGTTTGGCGTAGCACGAAGGAGGCCATCAATAACTGTGATATATGGGCCGCGAACTCGAGCCTTTTTTTGTCCGCCACGAGGCACTTGCATTCCTAGCAATGCCTTGCAGGTGCAATAGATAGAAAAGCTATTGATCACGCTCTACAAACCGCGAAGCCACTGCTTGTTTCTCCTCCCGGATAGTAACGAATATCTAGCATAATTTATCAGTATCATACAGTACAGCCTCGTACAAAGCAGAGGGGACGTGCCCCTGAAGCCAGCACTCAGTTCAGCAGGAGGCAAAGAAAGAATAGAGAAGGGGAGGAAAAAACCTACCCAGAGCCAGAACATCATCTCCATAAACCCGAATGTGAAAATTGCCGGGTTCTTAAGTTGTGTCAATGCAGACGCACCCCCTGGGCTCTCCATGATACCTATCGCAGATGGCTGACTTTGGTAGATGAAAAATGAGACGGCGAAGAAGACACAGAAGCGTGTGGCGGAAAGGAACGTCCAGACTTCTGAGTAGAGCGAGCCGAGCCGAGCCATGAAGGGATTCGCGCGCATGGCCCCTGCCACGTAGCCCGGAGCATGCGACCGTGCAGCCTCAGCCATTGCGAGGACTTCATTAGTCTGCGGAATTTTGGACACAAGGATGTAGTCGACCAGGGCGTCGACGATTAGAAGGATTCCGCACAGGGCAAAGGAGGATTGAGGACGGGAGAACGATGGAGATGCATCCTAGCCAGCAGAAGTAAAGAGAATTCGTTAGCAATCACATGTACTTCAGAGTGTGGGGGACTTATGAAGGAAACGAGGTGACTACCAGTTGCAGGAGCTCCCCTAGCATGAAGACGACGTCGGAGTCGGTGATGACTGCTGGTGACCTCATTAAATGGATGGCTAGAATGGCTAGCAAAAAGGCATGAGCCTGTATGAGGATTTTGGAGGCTATGAAACCCATGGCAGGCTATTGTTATCGGGAGCGCATTCAACTGAGTGTGATAGAGGCCGTCAGTGGTGTGAAGGACGGGGTCGGGGATTACCTCCTGACATTGTATTGTACATACGTACAGTCGAGAGGAGAGCACGGGGAATTCGTCCGCCTGATGTGGTGGGGCTGCCCTGGATTGAAGTTCCGCTCGCCGACGGATCAGTCGTGGGCGAGGGCAGTCAGTCTGTTATGGAGTCAGCCGTGCGGATGCGAAATCATCAGGTCGAGGGAAAGAGACCTTTGAGTTGTCTTTGAATACTGTCTGTTGTTCTACCTCTATTCTTACTTTCCAGCTGCTCCAGGTTTTGAATCTCCATCTCCGAAGCTCCTTCGACAGAACTCCCCGCACCCGAGCTCAGCAAGGTTCGCGGACCGAGCAAGACTGACAACATGACTGAGATCACCTTCAACAGGGAACGTCACATCAAGTACTTCCTCCGATGCCTCAAAACGTTCCTTCCAGAACCTTATACATCCAATGACTCCAATCGCATGCTTCTCGCCTTCTTCACTGTTGCCGGCCTCGACCTTTTAGGCGTCCTCCATGACAAGACCACCTCCGAAGAGCGACAAGGGTATATTGACTGGATCTATCATTGCCAGGTGCCTACAGGGGGCTTTCGAGGTTTTACGGGTACTGACTTTGGGGTGGAATCTCGATCGCCGGCGAATGAAGCTTGGGATCCAGCCAATGTGCCGTCCACGTTCTTTGCGCTTGTCATCTTGGTCATCCTGGGCGATGATCTATCACGGGTGAAGCGCACAGAATGTTTGCAATGGCTCCCTCGTCTGCAGCGCAAGAACGGGAGTTTCGGTGAAGTGTTAGGGCCTGGAGGCGAGATCGAGGGAGGCGGGGATCTGCGTTTCTGCTGCTGCGCGGCAGGGACGAGGTATATCCTCAGGGGACGTCGTGGAGCAGACATACAGGGGCTGAGAGATATCGATGTATCCAAAATGGCAGCCTTCGTTCAGGCTTGTCAGGTTAGGTCTCCGACATACATTTGTGATCCTCTGCCCGCAGAGCCCACACATACCTTGCCACTATCTAATGCGCTTGCTAATTACATCGTGCTTTCAGGCTTATGACGGCGGCATGGGAGAAGCACCATTTTGCGAAGCACACTGTACGTTTGATTCTTCCAGTATGCCCTTGATACCGATCACCCGACTGACTGAGTTGCAGCCGGCCATACGTATTGCGCGATGGGCGCTTTGTCCTTTCTAAGTCGAACGGAGAGGAATCACCCTCTGCCAGCAGTCCTCTCACCTGATGCGGTGGAGTTCGAGTCCTTGGTTCGTTGGTTGGTCTCCCGACAGACGGCTGAGCTTGGTGAAATAGAGGAAGAGTCTGATGAGGACGACACCAAGAGTGACACTAGTGAGGGTCAGAAACCATTACCCGCAGCGGCAATCCAGGTTGTCGACCCTAAAACAGAGGTGGATGAACTCCCTGCCCTTTGCCCATCAACAGAGGAGTCATTGCGATGGGCTGGCTTCAATGGCCGATGCAACAAGAACGCCGACACATGTTATTCCTTCTGGAATCTGGCGACTCTGGCTGTGAGAAACCCCGTCCCTTAATACTCGGTGGGCGTTATGTGATCTGATTATTGCGCACAGATGATGGACCGGCTAGCGCTGGTCGACGCGAATCGGAACCGCCAATATCTCCTGGACAAGACGCAGCACATCATCGGGGGATTTGGGAAAGGCGTAGGGGAACCACCTGGTGAGTTTGATCTGTACAAAGTTCCTTATTTGCCTTTTTTCACTCACTCGTTACCGCCCTGCAGATCTTCTACACTCCTACTTTGGCCTGGTGGCCCTTGCGTTTCAAGGCGAAGAAGGGCTGGACGATGTTGATCCAGCGTTGTGTATCAGCCAACGGGCAGTGGATCACCTGCACTCCCTTCCCTGGTGGCAGAAGAATATTCAAACCAGTAGATACTAGACTAGCGGGCAAGATTCTGAGATGCTGAGAGGCAATGTCCCTGATCTTCAGCCACTTTCACTTCACATGACGGGTATATAAGTTAATGGACGAGACACCGTGCCCTAGCTCCAGCACGTTCGTTAGATCCCCCAAATTCGATATTCGCTGGGGGTTTTGACGATCGAGTATATGACTCGGAAGATGCAACTGTCATACAATCAGTGCTGCGAAAGATAATGGTGTGACAGATTAAGTGGGAAACATTTTATGGGTTTGGCAGTTTCAGATTGATTCTGCTCGGGTCAAGGGAGTGAAGGGGTTGTTGAAGTCTTCCAGTCTTGGGGAGTGTAGATGTTAACCATCCGGTAGGTAGTGAATTCCAGCCCAGGAGAGGGAAATTAAACTTGCAAGGAACGACTGCCGGGTTAGCCGTTGCGGATGATGAGATGATGAGCTAAAAACGGCTTGGCTTCAGGGGTTGGAATGAGGAGGTCTGACTCGCTGGCCAACCTAGACTATACTGTGGACTCCGTAGATACTAAGTTATTCGAGTCGAATCCTGTCTAACTCCTCCGTACAGTAACTTACCCATGACAGTGTTTACGTAGAGGTACTGTACTGGTACTGTACTGTATGTACTGTACAGTACCCACCCCAGGTGCTACCCAGGTCAGACCCGGGGCGGAAATAGTCTTCTGGGAGCAGGAAGGAAGGAGCTGAGCCGAGTTAAGGGAAGTGAAGAGGTTTGTGTACTTTATATACATACTTCATTGCATGATGATGATAATGATGACGCCGATGATGATGATAAACGAGTCCACGTTCCCACCCGGCTAAATTGTGGCGGACGGCTAAGAATGAACAAGTATTAGTTACTAAGTACTAGGTAGATGAACGAACACCCAGTAATTTGTTGATGAGTACGGAGTACTGTACTCTAGGATGAGAACAGAATTTTGGGTACGGAGTAGTAGGCATATGAATCAAGATTCTCTATCTTTTGTAACATATGAAATTACTCGTTTCAATCAGCAGAAGATATTGCCTATGATATGAATATTGTGCAGGAACATAGCCGTTGACTCAAGTTATGTAGTTATTGACTTATGTAGTGAACTACTACTATGTAAGTAAGTTGACTACTTCAATTAGGTAGTTAGCTACGGAGTAGTAGCTTATTGACCTTCTCTTAATCATCGGTTATGCACATAGTTATCCCCCCCCCTCCCCCCTGCTTGCCTGCTGTCGTCAGTGCCTCGCTCCTTCTTCGTGTCTCTCTCCCTCCCTCCCTCCCTCTCTCCCCTCATCATCATTACAAGCCCAGCCAAAAAAAAAAAAAAAAGAGCCCGCCTCAACCCACTGTTATTCTTGATTCTTTCCTTCACCTCCATTAATTTGAGTGTATTGTCCCTCCTTTCCTCCTCCATCTCCTCAATGGTGGACTGAATTTCACTATTCATTTGAGACTCGGTGCATACAAACTACCTTTACATAGTACCTTTAACCTCTTGCTCTCTCTCCCCTTTCGACCTTGCAGTCCCCCCCCACCCCTTCTTCCCCGAGTCTCACGCCGACTACTTGTACTACTGGCAAGTAACTAATTTGTCTGGTATGTGTTTGCCTGGCATGATAGGCCCTCGACCCCATCTTTTCTGCTGTTCCTTAGTAATTCTCTCTCTGGTTGTTGTTGCACTGGTCCAATCCTCATACATCGTCGGGTTAGGCACAGCTTGACTGACTTCTTGTCTCTTCTTTCTAGCCCCCTTCCGTCATCCTTTTTAGTCTCCGGGCCCGATCAGCTTTCGGCTCCTGCGGATCTTAATCCAATTTACTTTCTTTTCTTTTTCTTCCGGCGCCTCGAGTTTTTACCATAGCAACTACGATTGAGCCAAGATCCAACTCTCGTCGTCGAATTCTCTGCTACAACCTCGAATAACCTCTATCCCTCATCAGATATACCGACTGCGCCGTCTTTCCTGCCTCGATCAGCTCTCCCTCATACTTCTTCCCTCGCCTGCCGCTCAAACTTCGGTCCTCACTGTCGAACGTTGGTTCAACATAGCAATCTCAATACATAGCCTGCTGGATGGGTTTCCCGGTGGTTTAGTCTCTCAGGCAGCCGATCGATATAATATACGAAATCTCTCAGCTCACCGGACATTTCCCGGCCAGGCGGAGATAAACGCTTGAAACACATGCCACCTCCTAGGACAAGAGCGGAGGTCCAAGCCCAGAAACAAAAGGAAAAGGTATGTCGAGTCGCTACTTGCCGTGCCTGCCCAACAACTCATTTTTGATGACAACGCCTCTGCGTGTGGAGAGCTGCTATCACTACATGCTTCTCGTTGGAGACAATTTGCCCCCCCCCC